AATAACAGATATGACATATAACAACGACAGATCTACAGAGAGCGGCCCAGCTCTCCCATACTTTTTGTGGGCTGGTACTTGTTTTAATACCGGTACGGTATCAGAAGTAAAGACATGAAGATTTTGACTAGTTTAAACATGTATAAAACGAGTTTTCTTTCACCCTACAGCCCCCCCCCCGATTGCCAGCAATGTTAAGTGCCACAGGTAAAGTCACAGGTGTTTTTTCGTAGGTTTCTGGGATACACTGCTTAACTTATACTACTCGGAGAAAGTTTAGCATGATAAGACGGTTGATACGATGCTCGAAGTACAGAGAAAAAAGCCACCCCTGTCCGTTGCCTGGAATCGGGGGCAGAACATTCGACCCGCTCCCAACATTCACTTAACTTATTGGATTGTCTTTGCATTTTATTTGGATTTTCTAACAAAAAACGAACAAGACAATAATTAGATGCTGTCATAATAACTATAAAATCAGCAGAGATATGGGCAGACGGGAAACCGTCCTTCTATCACCAACTCAGGATCCATGCAAGCGCTGTACCGCTCAACCTTCTCCAAAAACCAGTTGGTCCAATCCCAAATTGTCATGATTATCTTCGATCAAGGTGTTAGTCAATGGCCGTGTGTAAACGTGTACATGTATATATGTACAGTCAGGGTACGTTCAATTTCAGTATACCTAACAGTAGCAATGCTTTTAAATCTGACGATTAAAAAGGCACTAGGCTCATTATCAACGAAGCCCCCGACGTTTCCAAGTTCGAAGACCATAGCTCTAAATTGGCTCTCGAAGATGAACACTGCGCCCTCTTTCGTTACGGGGACTTAGGGAGTCTTGAATGATACCTTATGAACAAACTGGCTTTTTCCTACAATTCCTGCAGCAACTGAATTTGCGTCTGCGTTTCTGGTCGAATGATAAAAGCTTGAAAGGGACAACTGAAACCATCATTCAATTTCGAAGTAGTCGGCATTTTAACTTGTGCGTCGGTTGCCTTGGCACCCTGCTGAACGATGCGCACAGGAATTAAATCAAAGCATGTCATTCGGTCACCCACTTCACAAAAGTGTAATATCTCTCCGCTTTTTCAGAACAAATATTCATTTTTGAATTAACAGATTTATCAAATTACTAAGAAAGATGTTTTGAACAATGTATTATTTCTGATGAAAACTTATTTTGACCTCAGTATTACAGTTTTATGGGGTAATAGTAAATTTGACAAGCACTATGTTTTTCAGCGAAAAGTAAAAGGGTGAATTGTTTGACACCATCTACTTGGCCGAAATTGTTTACTTTGTAGTCAGGTTTCTCTCAATTGGAATTTGTATTGAGCGCTTAGAGGGCAGGGTATAAGACAGTGTGTACACTTAAATTGGACATTCCGCGCTACGGGGTCGAATCTTCTAAGTTCTACCGGTAAAAATGAGCTCGGACATTGAAAGCCACATTTTAAGAAAATATGAAATCAAAAGAAGACTTGGTAAAGGGGTGAGTAGTGCTTGCGGAAGAGAATCCTCCCATGTTACCTGTAGATTAATATGCCGTCAAAAATGAAATAGTTTGTAAAATCTTGCCCAATATGAGTGTGTCGGAAATACACGGATTTACATGCCGTTATAGCGTAATTTCCTCAAGAACTGATAAGCTCACATCGAAGGTCTGTCGACATTTAACTTTCAAAGTTTTACTAATCAAGCCGTGTCACTGCAATTAGATAATGGGAATAATTTCAGAATACCCTGTGTTAAGTGAAAATACAAAAGTGTGCACTCTTGTCTATCTCCATCACTACACTAGTCCATGATCTCAGACATGTCAGACTAGCTTGGGAACAGTGTCAGTCATGACACAGTTGTTAGCCTCGGCATTGGCATTATTCAGTGAACATGGAGAATGCTCATCACAGACTGACAGATTGGCATTCATGTTAATGACAAATGCAACTTGCCATTTGCAAATGAAGTGCACTGCGAAATTACAAAAATTACAACAGTTTTTAACACTTTTCCAGCCATCCAAATTGGCATCATCATCAGATCATGGTCGAGTTTATACTTAGAATTATTTACACGAGACGTTGTGTGCTGTAATTTCTCAGCGTCACTACACATCAGGTTTTCCTCAGCCTAAAAGCACAATGTTGCAACAACCAGTCATAATGCTGTGCAGCATCAACAAACATCAACAAAGGTCAACACACACAAGTAGCGTCAACAAACATGATGGCAAAGTGTCAACAACTTGAAAATACCCTCTGAAGATTTATATGTGGTTTTATCATATTTTACAGACTCTAAAACCTGCTACTGTGTAAGAGAGGCATCAAATTCACTTCCAGATTTTCTCAAAAAACGAACGGTTTTTGCAGTGTTTGGAGGCCACCATCTTTCTTTACTCTGTCATGGTGGCCAGTTGGGCTGCATGAGCAAGTCCGACTTTGTCTCTCAAATTTCAACACTCAAATTTTAATATCATTTCAGATAGATATGATACATTAAAGACCAACTCCAACAATGTTAACATTTTCATATTGAATCGAATTCACAAGAGCCAAGTCTAACAAAAGTGGCACTTATCAATATCTCCCTTGCAATACACATTTTTGTGTAAATGAAACACAGTTTTTGTACCCATTTTTCCTGGGAGTCCAGTCCGGTATTGTAAAATTGAATGTGTTGTCACAACTCATTAGCATCTAATGAATATTGATTTTTGAGATGTACTACCGTGGAGAGGAAATACCACAGTGCGTGCACTTTAGGCATGCAAAGCAGGCGTAGCTGCGGACAACAACATGAACTTGAAGAATGCTGTCATTCTTCAGAAACTGAAAGAATTTCAATCCCAGTTTGTTCGCCGAATTTCTAGTACATCTACCAATGACACACGATTTTGGTATTATTGTAAATCATGAAGAAAGGAGCACAACCTCTCAACAGAAAAGCGATAATGCAGCACAGAAGACATTGCACACAGATTGATCCCCACTACGCAGTGCAAGCACATGTAACTCCATGTTCATTTGTAGCGGAACCAGTCGTTCCATGGATACCAGTTTCGATGTTTTCTTTGGTATTACATCATGCAAATTTCGTGTCTCAACAGGGCGCCCAGCGGTCAGGTTGTGGAAATTGTTCATAAAACTAAAAGACATCGTTCAAAAGTTCTGGCAAAGTTTCAAAATTTGATCATACAGAGTTTTATATCAAGGAAATGTTGCACGCACATTGTCCTCTGTGAATGACAACTCTTCTTAATTAAAGTATAAATTTCTGTATAGAATTTCCTGAACATGATGAAGTGTCCTTCACGTATCAGCTATCACTCAAAAAGGCCAGGAGTACAGATTGAATTGTTCATTTCTTCTCTTGACAGGCATACGGAATTGTATGGAAGGCCATTGATAGAAGGACTGGCGACATTGTGGCCCTCAAGAAGATCTTTGATGCATTCAGGAACCAGACAGACGCTCAGCGGACATTCAGAGAAATTATGTTCCTGCAGGTATTGTTGGAAACTGTGAAACTCAGTTAAAGATGATTGTAAGAGGTTGGTCACAGTCGTAGCAGAAAGTGCAGAAGGGGAACTGTATTTGCATGTTTAGAGAAAAACAAATCCTGTTAGCCAACAGAAACATTCTCGGAACTAGTGGTAACAAAAAAGCTTGACTATTGAGATATTTCCCAACCGAGCAATTGGTGAGTTACATGAATGCGCACTGGCAATAATGTAAAGGCGTCTTGATATGAGTGTGAGTGTTTATCGAGTATTAAATGTACACGCTGGGGTGACAGAGTACAGACTCACGACTCATTTGGTACCCCAGAAAAAAATCAATGGAAGAAATATCCAAAAATCTTACAAAACCTTTGCAATTGACCTTTCCCAACTGAAGATGAAGCAGTTGTCTCAAACAAAACTGGAAATTTTGAACCATATTGTCTGAAAAATTCAGTAAGGTTTTTACAAGTTTTGAGCATCAGTGAATATTAATCTGTTTCAAGTTTCTGACTTATGCAACTTGTGACTCCACTGTAGTTAGTTTTTAATATGTTAAATTCCATAAATGTTACAATTTTTTAATGTAAAGAATGCATTTTATTCCTTTATCATGTTTTTAAAAGGAATTTGGTGATCACAGAAACATCATTAAGTTGCTGAATGTTATGAAGGCTGATAACGACAAAGACATTTACCTGGTTTTTGAATACATGGGTAAGCACCAAACCCCTCCTCCGTCTGTGATCAGAAAAACTCTTCTGGCGTTGACTAGTAGAAATGGACAGAAGTCTAACCCTGCCGTGTTTGCTAAAGATTGCAATTGTTTTATTCCGTTTCCTTTGATGACCTGTTTCTTGTTCATTTATAAACCTCCAATTCAGTGCAGTTGAAAGCACACTCTAAGGTCCTTTTGTAAGATTGTTGGAAGATATTTAAGATTGCAGCTGTTGCATATGTTTTGTATTCATATCGTTAAAAAAATTTCTGTATTATTTTACACGTTCAAATGTGAATCATACATGTAGATACCGACCTACATGCGGTCATAAAGAACGGCAATATACTTAAGGACATCCACCAGAGATACATCATGTATCAACTGATCAATGCTACCATGTATCTACATTCCGGCAATGTCATTCACAGAGACCACAAGGTAGGCTTGCAAAAAAGACGCCCCCTCAAAGCCCCCCGGTATGCAACTTCTCCTGGGATCAGCTGATTTCCTTGTTTTTCATCCACACTCATGCTATTGGAAATTGAAAAACACGGTACAAAGTCTCGTAAAGAGTGGAATTTCCTCGTTTTTGTCCAAATCCAAGTTGCATGCCTGCTCCCCCCCCCAAAAAAATGACAAAATATCTACATGTACATTACACGAGAAAATCACTCTGATGCTGCATCTGTTGAAAATACATTGATTAGGTAATCCAAAGCACTTCCATCTTTCATAACCTGCTTGGAGGTTCTGTTGGATTTTGTAGAATTGAGGAAGGTAGAGCCCAGCCGCTGTTATTTTACATGGGGCTTGGTGCCCTGTAAATGCTAAGAACCTACTCTTGGCTTCTCGGTCAGTGGAGGATTTTTGATAGTTTAAGAAATGCTCAGGTTTAGAGGTGAAATTGTCATTCTTTTCCTCACTTCTGTAGTGCATTTTACTGTGACAATTTTTTTTTAAACCACTCTGCAGCCTTCCAACATTCTCCTGGACAGCGAGTGTTTCGTCAAGGTGGCCGATTTTGGCCTGGCGAGGTCCATCACACAGTTAGACACAACACAGAGCGAAAGCGATCCAGCGCTGACAGAATACGTGGCGACGAGGTGGTACAGAGCACCAGAGATCCTACTCGCGTCAAAGAGGTAGAGACTAGACTAGAAGCATTGTGGGATATTAAGGTCACATGATCCAAGGCATCATTTGCCTTGTCTTCATTTGGCTTGCATCTAGCCCCTTCAGCTTCACCTTTTCCAAAACTAGAAATCTCGGTTCAGGTTAGAATCAAATCTAAATATTGCTGGTCAAAGAGACTAATTTGTCTTTAAAATCTGCTTATACAAGCGGAAATTGCTAAAATCTGCTTATAAAAGTGTAAATTGGTAAAATGAGTTCATTATTAGGCATGCTGTCTTAAATATGATAATTGACTATGTTAAATTTGTTCCAAAGCTGCCGTTTTCTCTGACAAACTATACTTGCTACATGATGGGAAGGACCGTTGGAAAATGTTTCATCACAGAGCTGCCAAGTCTTTCATATCTTGTTGCTCAAGCTTGGTAGTCAGTGTTGACCATGATTCACCGGGAGGTTTTTAAAAGATTTTGTAGGATTCATGAAGGTTGAGCCCAGCCACTGTTTCCTTTAAATGGGGCTCGATGTCCCTTCCAACCGAAGTGTAAGGAATGTGTCACTGGTTTCCTGCAACTTGAAGGGTTTTGTAGGATTAAGGAAGATAGAGCCCAGCCACTGTTACCTTATGTAGGGCTTGATGCCCATTGAAAGTGACAGTATGGAGAATGTGCCATTGGTTTCCTACACAGGAGGAATTTGCAGGATTCAGGAATGGTCCTTGAAAGAATGGTTAGAGACATAGTTTAGGCTTGTGTTTCTGGGTTTTTTTGATCACAGATATACAAAAGGAGTTGATATGTGGAGTGTTGGTTGTATCTTGGGTGAGTTACTTCGGGGAAAGCCCCTCTTCCCAGGAACGTCCACATTAAATCAGATCGAGCGAATCATGAACGTCATCGACCCTCCCTCCAAGGCTGACAAGGATGCCATCGACTCTGAATATGTCTCCTCAATTCTCGACAAAGCATCTGTCAGGTACGCGTAATCTGTTTGTTCAATCATCCTTCTCATCCTTGCAAGTTGCAAGAATGTGGAGTCAAAGTGGTCAGTTTTCATTAAAAATGCGACATCCCTTGCCAACACTAGGCACCTCTTGGCCAGAAAACTGAATCATTTAGTTCACCCACTGGCTCTTACTGACGAAATCCAAGTTGATTCTAAGACGCCAAACCTGGACGATTAGGGTCTTAGTTATAGACTGAGAAATCATTCAAAATAAGGATACCGTGACAATATCCGTCCATACCTTACTGTGCTGTTAGAGTTTTTGTTGCGAATGGTTTTTACCATCATTTGTAGAGGAGGTAGTTTTTGGAGATTATGATTGGCTCAGCAAGCAGGGGTAATAATGAGACAGTTGCAAACCACTGATCCCAAATTTCAAAGTCTCTTTCAAATTTGTCCACTTAAAGACATAGGCAATCATTTGAAGACGTCCTACCAAAGGCCCCACCTGATGCCATCGACCTGCTGCGGAGACTACTCCAGTTCAACCCTGAGAAGAGGCTAACAGCTGCTGAGGCACTCAAACACCCATATGTATCAAGGCAGGTGGCTTTCTGTCCACCCTCCCCCCCATCTCAGCATTTGCCCATGTTGGATCAGTAACTTATCTGTCAACCACTGGCCAATTTTCCCTGGTGATCTGTACACAATATGTCTCTTGGGTACCAGGCAGAATCAACCAATGGTTGGCTAGGTGTCACCAATCAAAATCAGCCAATCAAAACCCTTCTACTTTTTTGTGGTTTCTCTTTTAAAACCAATTTTTTTTTCTCTGGGTGACCGAAAAGAGTAAATTTGAGCCAACAAAATTTAACAAGACCAGTACCAATAAATTCTCAAGAAACTGTGGTAAAAGTAATCTAGTCCTGTCAAACTCAACACGGTTTTTACAGGAGATGACACTAGCTAGTGATGCAAAGAACTCTTTGGAGACTGGTGCAATGTTTTCACTGATTTGCATAGGTTTCACAATGTAGCTGAAGAGAAGGTCCTAGACTACGATGTCATCCCTCCATTGGATGACGATGTACAGTTATCAGTTGGCGAGTACAGGAGGAAACTGTATGAGGTCAGTCTAGTCACCTGATCGGAATTCAGCTAGAGATTTTTGGAGACATCATCTTTAGTACATTCTAGTCATCTGATCAGAATTCAGCTAGAGATTTGTGGAGACATCATCTTTAGTAGGCTTACGATCGCTAAAACGAATACCTGTATGTGGCCTTAAAGCTTATGTTGCTATAGATACACAAAAACTCAATTGTTGGTTTCTTAGGATCTTTCCAGACTTTGGAGTATTTGAACCCCAAATTGTGGATTTTTAGAGGTTTGAGAACCCATAGCTTTTTATGAGAGAAGTCACCCCGTGTTGACCATAGCATTATATGCTCTAGTGTACTGTGTTGAATGGTAATCTATGACTTTTTGTGGAACTGTGTGCAATGTGTTTGGTTTGATTATATTTGTAAAATGAGTTCTTATCTTTTTTGCTAATTTCTATCCTTTTTTATTCTTTTGTACTGTATTTTTGGCATTTTAATGTCTTACATTATATAAGCTGGCGTCCATGGGAGATCAGTGAGCAGGCTTACTAAATGGATTACCCAGGGTAAAAAAATAAATGAATAAATAAAATAAATACTATTGAACTCCCTGAAAAGCCACAGTATTCTTATTGTGTTTATTTGATAACCACTTTGCTAGATGTTTCCTGTCTTTCTCTTCATGTCCAAATCTCACCCCTTTCATCACGTTTGACATGACCCTATCTGTCCATTTGTTAGATGATAAAGGAGAAGAAAGCCAGACATAGAGAACGCCTACGTGCCGACGAGAAAGCCAAGGAAACTCCGCCCCCTGCAGAGCCTGCCCCCGTTGCTGCGCTACCGCCCCAAACCAACCACGTAGCCAGTAAGCAGAAAATAGTAGTGGGTGCCAGTGGAGCCGCGCCTCAGCCTGCGTACACAGGTAGGTGTGCTGAGCACCATTGATGACGTTGTCGTGATTTAGAATCTAGAGTAGATGGAATGCTTTATTTGTCATGCTCGTGAAGTGTTCTTCTTTGGAGTTTGTTATAATTTCTCTGCACGTATGGCACAGCTTACCAAAGCACTGTGGCCAAATTCATGGACCTGCCAAGCACAGAAGCTTGCCAGCCACGGAAAATTTACAATGATCACAATTTTCAACTGCACGCTAGCTAAGTCCAATGCAATATGGGCAATTTGCAATACAGTGTGCCACCAAGAGGTTGCCCCAACAGGTCTTTTTCCAAGTTTATCGTCGACAGAAGCCTTTGGTGATTTGCCAAGAATCGCATAGAAGTGTATGTCAGTAGACAACTTGTGGAAATCGCGGATAGATTGGGACATTACGTGCAAAAGAAAGAAGAAAGGATCACTGAAACCGCTCCTCAAACCATATTCAGGAAACTTTTTCACAGACAAACATCAGAAAAAATTTCAAATTCCCCAAGTGCAGTCGGCGAATAGAATTTAGTGATATGGCCTTTCCATGGCAATTCAATGTATATTGGTTGCCATGGTGGACTGCATTGTGAATCACCCATTATTGTAACCGTTTCTTTTGGTTTCTTGTGGGTGGTGCCTGCTGTTCGGTGCTCTGGTACTGTTTCCCACCTACTTATTTTCATTTGGTGATGCCTCTTTCCCCTTATTTGCTCTCTCTCTGCTCTGCTGTATGTGCTGTGGCTTGTGTGATGGTATCTGCACTCTTGTGTTGCTCTGTGCTGTACCCGTTGCCTGTGTGTCTGTCACCTCCCCCTACCCCAGTGGGCCGGTCGACTCGGCCTCCCCTCGCCCAGGGGAGTAGATCGGCTGCCCTTCTGTCCAACAAGCAGCCTTTGCAGCCGAATGGTAACGCGCACTATCACTCAGGTAATGAGCTTTTCAGAGTCGATTGTTGATGGTTAAATTTCAGAGTAAGTCATTTGTCAGTTAAGACTTAGTAAAGCCTGCTGCCCACCATTGTGATGTTACAGGGAGGGAAATTTCCCAGATTTCAGGAGAAATGTATTCAGGATACATAGATTTTTTTTTTTGGCATAGCTTTTGCCCAAATTGTACGAGCAGTTTTCTTGAATTTTGCAAGAAGGTGATTGCAAGATTTGTGGAAGTAGAGGTTCAGAGGGAAGGCTTTTCCTTGTGTTGTTACTCAGGCCGGAATGCATTGGACTGACATGGAATTGGGGGGGGAGTGTCTGGTGTTAAATTGAAAGGACTCGGCACGGCTCCTAGCTGTGTACATGTGTCATGCACTGATGCTGTCTGCATTTTCTGAATGTTTTTCAGGAACCATTTTGTGTTTGTGGCACGTGGTTCATCAGTTGTCATTTCAATTGATCAGAATGACTCAAAAGGTTTGTTGATCCCAGATCTTTCAGTTGACGAAGGCCAGAAAAATCTGAGGAAAGTTTCATGGCATTGTCACCAATCACACTGTGTCATTGTTCAGAGTGTTGTGTGAACTGCTCGCTTTATTTGTAATCATTGCAGGGGTAGCCTTTGGAAGGCAAGCCAAGGATCAAGCCCCAGTCGGCAGCCCGGCCAAGGCACCGGCCCAGGCTGGCCAGAGGTTCCTCACCAGGCAACGTAGTCTAGAAAACATCAATGCCGTAAGTCAGATCAAGGAAATCTTCAATATTCAATTGCTTAACGCTGTCCCTATTCACTTTGAATGCCGCCCATTAAAGGCAGAGTGAGGACTATTGTACAGAGCCACTGTCCTTTGACAGTGGCTCTATACCGAACCACGTGGCAGTGTGGTCAGATTCATCTGTAATTCAAACTTCGTCACTAAGAACACTGTAATAACACAACTATCTGCTTATAACAAGGAAATTTTTAGACTCCTGTCCTTTTATTCTCATTTTTTCATTCCTGATAATACGAGGTTCCTGTTGTAATAAGTTAATGTGCCAAGTCCAAAGGACCTCCTTTTAATTAAGTTTGACTGGAGTTTCTAGACTCCAGACTGAACATTCCAATTCAAGAAAGAACTCAGGTAAGTTGAGGAGAAAAGTTCAAAACCTGAGCTCGCTTTCCTCTTGCATGCAGACTGGCAGCGGAAGTGAGAACCAGGCACAGGTCTACCGTTCCCCTAGTCGCAGTTCTCGCCACAGTGCAGGCCACCATCGCACAAGGTCATTCTCTGCTGGGTTACGCAATGCCCAGATCACTAGGGACATTGACAGGAATCCACTGGGTCTGACAGTCACAAGCTCAAGAGTTGTAAGTTAATGTCAGTGTTGTGAAGTCAATCACAAGCCAGTCGCAAGTACTCATAAATCAGTCCCAAGTCTTGACCAAGTCAATCATGAGCCAATCACAAGTCAACCCCAAGCCAATTATAAACCAATCCAAAGTCAATCTCAAGCCAACTACAAGCAGGCAAAAGTTAATCACAAGTCAACCTCAAGTCCATCTTACGTCAATCACAGACTTATCATAAGTTAATCACAAGTCTGTTCCAGGTCAGTCCCAAGCCATTTACAAGTCACCCCCAAGTTAATAACAAGTCAGTCTTGAGCCAGTCCCTTGTCAGTCTCAAGCCAATCACAAGTCTGTCATAAGTTGTTGCAATACTTACAAACTTTTATACCTGTGTATTTTGATCATTAGGTTCCAGGTCACAGACCTGTCTCGGCCAAGGAGGACCGCCCCAAACCTTCGTATGGCCGGAAGCAATATGGCACTAAGAACGCCCCCTCTGCAGGTGCACCAAAGTCCACACTTGGCAGCTATTCCCAAGCTCATGGAACAATCACGGCCAGCGGCCTGGCAAAGATCCAAACCATGAAATGGTAACAGGTGTGCGGCGAGGACAGAACCATGTTCTCTGCATTCCCCTGATGATAAAGAGTTCTGAGTTAAATCCATGCTTTCTCTTTCATCCGAAACCGCTGTTTTACTTGACTTGTCTCCAGTGTTGTTATGCCAAATGTCAAACGAACAGTGACAAAAGCCCTCCTTTGTCATTGTTCTGTCTGTTTCTAGTGGCCGGTCTTGTGCAAGAGATCACAACTAGACTTGTGGTGGACCACACCACCTGATCGTTCAGCCATTTGCTACCTCCTTGCAACAAAAACAAAATAAGCAGCACCCGAGCGCAGCGTTGAATTGAATAAAAAGCAGCATTGTCAGTTGCAGTACATGTAGTTCAAAAGTTTTGCCAAGCCACTGTTGAAGTTAGCCCATGAATAAAAAAACCTGACGAAAACCTTGTTACTCAGTATGCAAAATTAACACTTTTAGAGTTGAAACTATTGTGCCTTGTCTAGTTTTTCAAACCATATTTATGCTTTTGAAGATGACAGTAATTTTAAAGGCCTAAATGTGTATTTATGTGGTTTTTGGACATTTTTATCTATTTTACCAAGTTAATGTCAATCTACAGTGTAAACTTCCTGTGATCCTTGTACCTGCTTAATCCCGCTGCAGTTATTTTGGCTCGCCTGCTTCAAAATTTCTCCAAATTTTCGTCGTTGAAATTGAGGAAATTGAAACTCAAGACCTCAGACTCCATATTGTTCCCTGAACCTGTTTCGAAACTTGACTGTTAAATGAGATGGTACCGGACTATTTTTATTACTTGTATTTTGTTTTCGAAATGAGGCTTTAAATGTTAAGGTACCTTAAATCAAAAAATTGAAATTATTCATCAGATCACATGGGTGCTGATTGGTCTTGGAATTTCATATTTATTGTTTTCATTCCTACTCTCAAATGAAGAGTTTGCCTCGCTTTCAATTCAATATGGCCAATTAACGAATCAAGCTTATAATGTGATACCTGTTCAAGTTTCCAGCATTTTACCATTCCAATGTTTTTACTGCAATTGCGTTGCAATTTATAATCAAGATGTATACCTTTTTTGTCTATTTCTGAGGATGTGGGTCCGTTGTGTCTACGTTTAACTTAACAAGAAAGCCTTAATAACATACATCCTAAAACTGTTGCTCGTGGTTTTTTTTTTTTTTTGCAATAAACAGTAAATATCTGCATTGTATTCTGTATTAACTCACCTCTCTCTCCGACACAGAAATGTTAAGTTTGCCTTTTAAGTGCCACTGTCAAATTTACTACATCTAGTACAGCCAGAAATTTTAACAGGATTTTTGCCCGGAAATGAGCTGTTTTTGTTTATTGTAACGATTTGAACATTCATATCTGGGTTGTATACCCTCAGTTACAGTCGAAGTCCAATTGTAGAATTCCAACTCTAGGGACTTTTTTGATATGATCCAAGTAGACAAAACCGTCAAATGCAAAGGATGAGAGTTACATTGGGAAGTACGGCTTAGAGTATGTTGTAAGAGCCAGAGTGATTTCCAGACCGATGATGCTCTTTTTACATTTTTGTCAGGTTAGCTCTCATTAAGGAATGGTTTGGAAATTGTGGTTTGCATGCAGAATCTAAAATTTCTCAAAACCAAGCTCCGGTGCTAGCTCGCAGGATGCCACTTTATTTAACATTATTCAACAGGACTGCAGATTTTTTTCATTCGTATCTTCACCATTTAGTATGCTGTTATTGTTGTTACTTTGTGATTTTTTATGTGTTGAGTGTCAGTTAAGTTAGCTCAAATGCACCCTGATATTTCAAAATCCATCGCGAGAGCATGTCAGATTTTGTAGGATTGAGGATGGTAGAAACTAACCACTGTTTACTTACAGAGGGTTTGATGCCTTGTTAAAGTACAGAGAAAGTGCTGTTGAAATTTTTTCAATGGTTCATGAAGATAGCTGGCCACAGCTAGAAATTGAAGGCAGTTTGGAATTCCCAGAGATAGGTTGGCTTGATTTGCCTGTATTCAGTGTTACAGTATTCAATGCGTCGGCAAAACATCACATTCCAAGCGTTAACAAAGATCGCATTGCGTTGCATAGCCGCGCAAGATGGAGAACTCGACTAAAAGGTGTTATCATCTTGGCGCCATTCGAGTATGAACGTTAATGCATAGGCGCAGGCATACCAGGTGTGCGTGCCTGTCGCGGGCGGCGCCTGCGCCTGTTGCATTAACGTAGTGTGTTCCTACCCAATTGGCGCCCTTGCGATAACAACGTTTTACGCGTATTCAAGGTTAAGTTCTCCATCTTTCGCCACTTCGGCGCTATACGATCTTTCTTGTGAACACTAAAGATTGTGTACAAACTGTGTAGATACCTGTGTACGTTTAAAGTATGTAAAGATTCGCTGGAGATTTGTCAGTTTTGTAAACAGAGAACCGAGTCGAGTAAAGAAATAAGTTATTGTTGTCAATGAAATGGATTTAAGATTGTTCATTTGTTCCTGAAGTCGAATGGGGAAAAGGCCGACGTTTGGTAAAACTCCGAAGTTCCAGGATTTCAGGAATGTGTGCGCATGCGCAAGTGGCTTCAAGCGCGAAACTGACCGATGAGTGTTGTGAAGCGTGGCCACAACAGCCGGCGTCGTGCAACCGTCGAATCAAATTATGTCCGTTAAGTGTTGGTTCTAGTTCTAAAGTTTATTCAAATAAAGTGGCATAAACGTCAGTCCAGCACACACACACTCCAGCAGATGACGCGAACTACCTACTTTCGCCCAAATTGTTCGTCCAAGAAGAAATGGACTTTATTGTAACAGGCGAGGCCTGAATGGTGCCCTGTTCTATGGCTTACTGCATTTTCAGAACTGTGCGTGTGACTGATTGGGACCAACGAAATTAGCAGCCCGACATCTTGCACTCGTCATTCAGGTAGGTCACTCGGTAATCCTTTCTTGAAACAGTGTAGTTGCCAGTGTGCCCACCATTTAACGTGGTGACCACTGGAACACGTGCACCTAATTTCTTTTTCTTATTTTAGAGTACAGATCAGTACAGCAGTATTGTTTTCAGATATTTTGCGCGGAATGCATTCAGCGAGCTGGCCCAAACTTAGTTTCGGCAAACAGCCCCCTCTATTGGCAGTTGGAGGGAAAGGAAGTTTGCCTTGTTTCATGTATTCACTTACATGTACATGTACATTGTTAATTTAAGTTTGCCTGGTAGCGAATAGTGTCCAGGACTTACCACTCATAAGTCTTAGTTCATAGTTTTCATATAAAGACTACACACGATTTTTAGTGGCAGGCCAAACTGTCCGAATTTTGGCTATGGTTGGTCGATTTGCCCCAACGTAGTGTAGACTGCTGTGCACTTTAGCCTTAATCATGTGTAGCGTATAGCCACGAGGCAGACTCACCAATTGTGGATTTTTTTTTAACCTGGGCTGAAATTGGACTGAGTACTGACAGATGTGCTGTCTTGTAATATGCAGCAATGCATGCGAGATCAGTATAGTGCAGTAGCATAGAAAAATAATGCGTAATCAAGAAATAAAGTATGATAGATGCATCTACCATGTATAGCCAATGCCAGTGATGGACTGGAGATCGCAGGATGTCAGTCTTTGCATTTAAGGCTGTGATTGAAATTTGTAAGGATATCGATGGATCCAGGTTTCGCTAATACCAGCCATTCACAATAGTGCACCTCAAAGAGTTTGCAAAGCGCTGACCAATCACAGTGTGTGAAACATCTGTCGACCCTTTCCAAATGCACATTGGGTCGACAGATTTCATGCACTGTGATTGGTCAACACGTTGCAAACTCTTGAAGGCGCACTATTGTGAATGGCCCGTACTGGCTTCGGGGTTCAGCTGTCAAAAGTGGGTTTTACCCGGCACTTGTTTGACTGGTTCCCCCCCTGGCCCCTATTTTACCCCTTATTTTCGTTTTTTGAATGCCAAAGGCAGGGACCACGGCAAGAGGAGCCTAGGAGGTTAGCCCTGATCCAGCCAAGGCCCTGTAGGCATAGATCCACCAGTGGTTAAGAGGGGACGATGTCTGCAGTAAAATAAGGCGAATTCAGAGTGTGAACAGTCTTACAACCCAACCAATCATCACATTAAGTTAACTGATCCAGTACTGAGCCACATAAGCCAAATTATATGGCACAGGCTAGTCCCAAAGTTCAGAACCGTTTTTAGGGGTTATTCGAGCCTCTCAGTGGAGTTCAGCTCATCTACGCCGTAAACTGCATCACCGATTTCCTTATTGAATTATCATTACGCGAAATAAGAGATACGTCTTGGATTTATTTGAAGGAAGAACGGGCGGGCTGGAAGTCGGCTCAATGGCGTCCTGGTATGGTGTCCCTTTCAAAGGTCAATTTGGCCGGCTGACCCCTGATTGGAAAGGTCACTATCTCTGACTAAATTTGATACATGATATTCCGGTATCGTTGGCATTTAATGCTGAGTAATTACTAGGGAGGTTTGATGTCCATGAGATTCCCAGGGCGACATGATGTTGCGGACCAGCAGGCGCACTGGCATATATATGTCACTCAGACCTGACTTCATGGTCTAAGTTGTGGTCTATACTAGGAAATTGTCCTTAGGAAACCAAAGTGAAAAAAAAAAACTTAGGCTGAACTGAAAGGAAATCGACGGCAAAACTAAATGTGAAAAGAGCCTTAGGCACAAGGAAATGGGGAAACTGTGGAACACAAGATATCTACCTGCACCGCCTGCAGAGGTAAGGTTTATTGCAGGGGTACCCATTTCTGGAGAGGACCACTTAATAGATTAAGGTCATACATGTATTTTAATTCAGTCTCCAAGTTCCGAGCAAGGACAGGTGGAACCGGGATGCCGCACACTTCTGGAGTTCCACTTAAGTTGACTCGGAAGTAAGACAGCCAATTTGCTATTCAGCCAGAAAGACAGTCGGCGCAAGCTATTCAGCCAGATAGCTTACACCAGCTAGGCAAGATATGGGACGGAGGGGTACCCCCCTTACCTGTCCAATCCCTGTACACACTGTAGACTATTGTTACCTGACACATCCCCCCAAGAAGTCGGTAAAGAATTCCTGAGATTCCGATCAAACAAAAACAAAGACGGGGGGGGTTCTCTCCGTCCCATATCTGGCTTCAAATGAGATAGCTGTAAATTCAAAACAACTGATGACGAGCTTGTTTGGGGGTGGTGCTGACTGGCGCCTTCAAGCAACCACTGTATTGTCCAACACTCTAAAAAGGATCAGTCAAATAAAACTAGAATTCAGTAAAATTTGACTAGCTCTTCAAGGTCAGCTGGGTGCAACTGGAAATTGGTCAACCTGACAAGATTTTTTCAGTCAGTTCATTGATTTTTCAAAAGGCATCGAATAGGAATCTTGTAAGAAAGCATGATTTGCCAAGAAAATCATTCGCCATTTTGACTAGTTTAAAGAGTGAATGGGAAACCAGCTCTTAGTGGAACGCGAGAAAATGTCAACAGACTGTATTCTTGTGTTGGCCATCTTGAATTGAAAGCAAGCTTTAACTTTTCATTTTCAGAACTAGAGAACACAAATAACAGCAACAAAACAAACGTTTGTTAAAATTAATGCCAGTGTCATTTTAGAATTTGTGATAAATTGTATCTGAAGGTTTTAAGCCACTTAAAAAAACCATGAAAGTTGGGCGTGGTTCACAAATAGTCTGCCCCCAACCCATTTAACAGATTACATTGAATACGATAGGTTCAGGGAACACAATCGAAATGGCTTCCCCGCGAAGAAGGTCTACTCTCAAACGAGGATTTCAATATTTAGAATATTACCTCTTTAAAGCTATTAAAAAAAATAATAATAAATCCGATGTGCTTCCGACTGTTGTTAAACATAGGATATATTTAGGTATTGAACCTTGAAGTTGACAAGGAACATTAAGCTATGTACTTGTTTTTCTGGAGTTTTACAAGGATGTGATTACGATTGTTTTCTGAAAAACAATGTTACAGTTTGCACGCAACCAAAGTTATTTAAATTATTCCGAGAGAAAGATTCCTCCTTTTCCTTTGGAAAACCTCCAAAACTGTCACTGGCGCAGTGAGGAAATCCAAAAATAAACACGACCGGTGCATTGGTATTTTTTCGAGCGAGTTCCGACGGTGAAGCGTAGTCGAATGTTTCCGAAACCCTGCACTCCCCGATGGTTGAACTATTGGGCTCCCCCAACAAACAGACACAGGGTTAATGCGACGAGGAATGCCAAGTATGCGGAAAATTCCCCGCGGATTCTGACGATTTCTCGGCTTGCGTTCGCTCGATTGACGACAAAACTTTTGACGCAATGCTATCGGGCGGGGCGTCTGATGAATTTACAGCCATCCTCTCGCCGGTTTTCCTTTTTTATACGAGGTGTTTAAACGCGTCTGTGGAAAACAAAAAGTTGCATCGATCGTGCATGCAGGAAAAAAAAAACTTTTGGACAGATCTGATGATCGTCCTCTTCTGCCGAAGACAGGCATAACAGGTGATGACCCTTCCGTGAAACTGCGATAGTTACCACAAAATTCCAAAGATAATAACTTGGATCAGTCAGTAATATCCAATTAAATACTATAACTGATATCTTCATTTAATCATTACCTAACAGGCATTTAGGCAGAAACATAAATTATGCAGTGTTTGAGCATCGGGGTTTCTACTGAGTGTCGTTTTAGTGGACTTGCAAATGAAATATGTCTTCACGTTAATTTTGTGGTAGGTTTCGAGTTCGGGGGAAAATTGTCATCAAACTGTATCATCGGTGTTGTTTTGGTGATAGGCGATATATGGTGCAACATCAGCCTCGGGTCAAAATGATAACTTTAACTGCAGACTTCCATCAAGTTCGGCTGAAAACACTTCCCTTATCGAATTGAAACTCATCGCTACCCAGTGGTGAACGAAACGGATATCAGTGTTCGACTGCAGACGCTTGCGGTCGGCACGCAATAAATAACCGATGTTTTGTTCGTGTGTGTGTGTCTATTTTGACTTGTGCACGCCAGTTATCCCAGCACGAGAGGTGCGTGTCTCCAAGAGCATTTTGTGCGCACAACATCCGGGCGCCGAGGCAGGCCTGGCACAAATCCGACATTCTCCGCATGGTCGGCTGGGATGGGGGTCTTACCACAGAGAGAGGAAGAGAAATACCTCTGACAGATTGTTAGGAGAAAGAAAACCAGTCATGAAAACAAACACAGAGCAAGTTGAAACCTGGCTAGGGAATATCCAGCCAATACCTGCCATCTTTGCTCGAGGGCAATGCATAGTTGTGGCCGAATCCTCTTTTAACGCATCCAACGATTACGCAGGGGAATGAAGAGCGACTTCACGCCTAAAAGCAAGAAGATACTATGAGTTTAATATAAGCATTTGTACTTTTGATATTAGATAGGAAGGCGAAGGGTTTGATATGCTGAAAATGAATAAGTGCTCGCAAAAATCTGGCTTTTTTTCTGACGCGTTTGAGTTGGGCATACCTGTATGGACATGAGAAAAAAAGAGGTCCACACGATTTGCGCACTCGCTGAAGAACAATTTCAAAGGCATTTTAGGCTTGGGGTTATCTGCTACCAAATGCAGGACAGTCAAGTAAATTCTTCAGAAAAATCCTGCGTAAACATTAAGTTTGTTCGCAATGGGAGAAAGATAGAGTGTTTTTTCCCGATTTTTTACCTACTAGCAAAGTGTGTTTTAAGTGGTGCTTACCAAAGGTAAAGCCGTTTTTCGGTAGAGTTCTGTGCACATCAGTAGTCTAAGTACTTTTGATATTAATGACACTTATGAAACACTTTGCTATGGGAAGACGTCATGTTTGTTGATGTTTGATACCCACTATAGGTCACGTGATTTGGTAGGCGCAGTCGGTCTGTTGTCGTGGGATTATTAGTAGAAGATTCAGGCATCGACCTGGACAATCTTCAAAGTTAAAAAGGAGGCAAAACTTTCATTGCAACGGCATTTTGTAAAGAGCAGGATTAAGGAGCAATCTGTATTATGTCATTCTGAAACAGACGATTAATCTTCTCTAAACGAGCTGAAAATATCAGTGTTCTTTGTATGATTTTGAAATAATCGTTAAGTTGTATTCTTTAATCATAGACAGTAGGCCAAGTAAGGTGGAAGCTGAGATGTAGTGTAATTTGACAACCAGAATAAGAAGCCATTACTGCGGCGGCACAACGCTCGTGGACAGGTGGTACGCGCGCGTTTCATGCCTCTTGGGCCAGTAAAGTGTCGTGTTTTGCCAAATGCACGCGCCCGTCAAGCCGAAGAATCACGTTGCCACCGCAGTTATGACGTCTAATTGGATTAGTCTGCAAGCTTGGTCCTATTCAGTGGTTTACTCGTGATAAGGACTCCAACTTCCATCACCCTCATCACTAAAAGGATTCAGATTTGTGACTGACTTTTGTCATCCCGGGTTCTGTGAAATTATAACTTGATTTTTCTCAACATGGTGTGAGAATACATTTTTGACTCCAACAGTTTTTGCCGTTGCAGCTACAGATTTTGCGCAGGAATTTTCTTTGGAAGACTTGGAGATCAACACACCATTACAAACTGAAGACAGGCGCTTAAAGAGGTAAGAAAACGTGAACTTTACTTGATTTTCATTGCATCAGCACCAGTAAATAAGCAAGACTGTTCAAAAGGGCAATGGAGATTCATATAAATTAGGGAATATTGCCACTTTTAAAACCCAATACGTAAATATGATGCATGACTATTGAGATCACGTCTCCCCCCAAAAAGGGTGCTTGGGGTTAGGCGTAGGCGTCCAAACCTGTAGCCAAAAAAATGGAACTGTGGTTTCTTTGAAAGGAGTTGCCCACCCGTTCTGGCCTGCTTTAATCGGGACAGAAGGTTGGCAGGAGTTTGCTATTTGCAACCCAGAATCGAAACTCGTCGGCACAGCCGCTTGGGCCAGGGGGCATTGCAGATTGGGCGCATGTTGTCAGGTCTAGACGGGGATCAGAAATGCGCTGTTTGGAGCAACCTTCCCGCCTCCCCGCCCATTATCACAGTGGGGACCTGTCCAGAACATTCTTCTCCGGCGAAATGAATTTTCTGGTTGTTTTGTCTCATGCTGACCCGCATAGCATTGGTGCAAAAGAGACGATTCGATAACGAACGGTGACATTTTAGTGATATTTGGAACTTGGAATTCTTGTAAATATTTTGTTCAAACGCTTGTGCTTCTGGAATAGAGTGGTTTATAAACTGGAAATGACGGAAAGAAACAATAAAATGAAGTGAAGACAGATAACGAAAGGTTGGGGATGATAAAGAGTTTTGAAAAAGATAATGAGTTTGAAGAACATTGTTAGGGATATATTACCTGATATATTTTTATCGTGAGTTGTTGAAATATTGCACAGACTTTGCAATACAATAAGATTTTTTGAATTGGTATGAACGTTATATTTAGTTTGATTTAAGAGGAAAGGAACACGGCCCAAACACTTATTGCTGGCTCCGGGGACACAAGTAACTGAGAGATTTCCTATTGATTTGGATAGGAAAAGGTTCCATCGGTCCTCTGTGTGCGAGCCGGTCGTGGTTGCGGCGACGCACGGGTACACGCGCGAGGACCAATTTCCCCCTCGGCGTTGGTCATGTAGCGATGGTGTCTACACGCCCTGTGGAGCCAATCTACCCTTACACCTGCAAGTAATGCCATATCGCCGGTTATGCAAAGGAATTATAACTCCATTATGAGTTCCACCTCAGTGGCATAAATTTAACGACTTTTGACAGAATGAAATGACAAGCAGATGTGAGACAAAAGAATGAAAAAGGACTAGCTTGATGTCCAATAGAATTAAGATCGCACAAAGAAACAAACAAAACCAAAAACAAACACAAAATAAGCAAAATCTAAAAAAAGAAACAAAAACAAGCAAAGGGAAAGACAAGCAACCAAATTCAGAATTCGTACAATGTGTACTCTCGAAACTGATCTGTGGTCCAAGTATGAGATGAGGACGAAGGACTGTAGTCTATCAGCATAAGGACAAACAGGTGCCTTGTTTATTCTTTCCATCCCTAAACCTTAGCTTGGTATGCCAGCCTTGGCATGGTGTCCGTGAACGTTGATCTCAGGCATATTTGAAGTTACTTCAAAAGGGAGCCAGGGAAGGTATTTGACGGTGTTTTCGTACAGAGGGTCAGTTATGCGTTGATATTGGTGTACCTGCGCGTCTGTGTTTATGCAGCACCTATGGTTCGTGCATTGTTACCTCACGTTATGTCAATCTGGTAATTGGTACAGAAACATTGGGATGCGAGCGACTGTCACAATTCCGCCCGGCTATTTTTGTAGCCTCGTTTCCAGACTAATATTACAGCTCGTTGTGTTCGACTTTATATGCACCAGCGTATGTGCGGAGGGGATTTTATTTGAATTTCGTAAAATGTGTACGAAGTGAAACAAATCCCAGCCCCAATTAGAACAGCATTTTTGATCTCTTGTGTCGTCAATGTTAAGAAAAGATTTGTCTAATGAATTTGAAGTGGCTTTGTCATATATATCAGTTTTGAAAGAGGTCCAGCTCGTAGCCATTTAAACCTGGAAGTGGAACCTGCACCATGTTAATACGTGTTAATGAAAAAATGTGTTTAGTACTTCCTCAGAAAAAAAAAAGAAATCGATCTTCAACCGCAACTGCCGACCTGAAAGTTTCCCACGCCCACGGTTACCCACCGACTCCCGGACAAACTAGATTGGTATAATTAACCAAGCACCCATCCACTCCAGAAACCCAGACGAGGGTATCTGCGGTCGAAAATTGCGCGAAAACAGTACTGAAAGACACCATGATGACTCGTTGACTCATGCGAGATTCCTCAGCATTGTATCAGCAATTATGCGTGTTTATTCTCTGTACGCGCACCTCAGACGTTTCTCGAGGATCAGTTGCAAATACTAAACCGCAATTCAGACTGTCTGATTGTTAATTATGCCATTGCTCCTTGTTCTCCTCTTTCTGTCAAAAGGTCACCAAACAAGCTACAAAGAAGAAAATACGGGTAAAAAAAAACAGTTTTTCAACATTTTTTCGTATGTTTTATGCAAGTGCCTTCTGATTTATCACCGATTGTCTGTATGCGACTGCCTTCCAATTTATTGCTGAAATCGTGCCTCTTTTGTGTCTCTCTGCATCCTCTCTTTGCCTTCCACTGTCGTGGGTTCACTTCAGAGCCTTCAGATTCGTTTAGAACTCCCTTTGACTTGATAACTGACTAGAACTTTACGATATCACATCGCGAACAATTTCAGCTTCAAATGTACTCTAGAGTGCGGCATACAAAACAACTATAAGCCTACAATCCTGGCTAATGTGGCATCAGCTGCGTATTGCTTTCATTTACGTGATAAATATGTAAAAAGCTGGGGCCAATTTCATAGAGCTGCTTAAGCACAAATTTGCTTAAGCGTGAAAAACCTTGCTTAACAAACAAACTTTTGTCACCAGCTAAAACTGCTTAACAAACAAACTTTTGTCACCAGCTAAAACTCTATCTGATTTTCATGCTAACCAAAAGACAGGTGTAAATATGATCCAAAAAACAATATACATCACATGGAGTTTTGGCTGGTTACCTGATTTTTTAGGCAAAGTTGTCTCGCAATTAAGCAAAATTTGTGCTTAAGCAGCTCTATGAAATTGGCCCCTGCAGATTTACACCCGTGAAATTGCTGTTTCAAATATATCAAAATAAGTCTATGGCGTAAAGACTTACGAAAATTTCCATCTTAAAATTCCAACTTACAGTTGTATAAGTTGTTGAAACTAAAGGTGTTTCTTGTTGTTATGAACTGTATTTTCATCTATCTCATTAATTTGTAAAAGGAACTAAACAACAATCGGGCAAGCTGGAGCAGAAAGACTCGATCCGAACGGACACGCATCATGCGTTGCAAATCTTGGATGCAACCGAGCAAACGTAGATGAGAGACTTCGATAAAGCCGAATCAGATCAACCCAAATCGAGGCACAATTTTGTTTCTGTCTCTCTCTTTCCCGACTGCCAAGGATCACCGCAGGTTCGAGAACCCGTTCCACCTATAACACAATTCCCCCAAATGTCGGCTGGAATGTCACCTCTATTTGATCACCTGTTGCCCCAGTTGGAGAAATCAACGGCAGGTTCCAGTTCCCATATCGATTGTTTGACGTCAGCATTGCCCCCAACAAATAGAATTACATTTTCCTTGTGGTAAGACGTGAAAGCGCGCACAGATTTCTACCATTTCATGATCTGATGTCGTTTTCCCCCAAATGAATTTATCAATGTTATTCCCATCTGAGGTTTAAGAAATTCTTCAGTATCAGATATCTTAAAAATGTATTTTGAGATATTAGGTTGTTTCGACCACTAAGAATCTGGAACAGTGACATAACTGACAAAAAGGCAAGCATAAAAACGCTTACGGTAAGTGGAATATTGCTAGGATGGCTTCAGCAATACAGTAAGAAAAAATTATGTGTTGCAAGCTGAAAATCTTTATTTTGAGGGAAGATTTGGAACCGAAAATGATAGATTCGTGTACCAGAAGAACGAGTGTGCGATGTGTTAAGGTGAATTAAACTGGTAAGATTGAATTTAATTGAGTACAAGCGTACAAAGAAAAAAATACCACAAGGAAAATGGCAACTGTCTTTCAATAAAAGTTCTTTAAAGGCAAGTTGCTATTTCTTAGGCTCTACGGAATTCCAACTCTGGGGACCAGTGCATGATGCAGCCCCGATATTACAGCTAGCTGCCAGAGTAATTTGGCCCGATTTCGACTCGACAGGGCTCCTGGCTCGGCGTATGGGAAGCTGACGGCAGCTCACCCGTGCGTCAAGTCCGCGGACGCCCCGTCCTCTAACCCAACATTGCACCGCACTTGCCCCCGCGAATCACGGCAGATTTTCTCGTTAAGCACGGTCCAATCGCCAGCCGGGGCGCCCCGCCGCGCAGTCTGAAAGGCGAACGCCAACTGGTAATAAATTGAAGTCGCTCGCTCGATTGGGAAAAAGTCCTGGCTTTTCAGCTCTCTCCGCTTGCCTGCGTGGTGTTTCCTCTCGTCTGATTCTGGCTCTGTGGTGGACTCAGACTTGATGTAGGATCTTGCCCGGTGAACTTGAATGCCAATTCTGGTCTCTCTATTTCCTGTTTGGGGATAAAAAAAGAAGAGGAAAAACTCTGGAACTTTATTATCAGGAGTCTGTAGACTCCTTACTTCACTTCCAATGAGGGGAAAGTGTAATTCAAGGTAAGCAAGCTGGCAACTTTTATCAATTCTAATTTCATAGATTAAAATCCTTTCAGTCTTCACCCTTGATTGATTTTGCTACATTTAAGCAGTCTTTTCATAACTTAATTAAAAATGTTGCAGCTGTGAAACACATGTTGTATCAGTACTGTAGGAGGAGAGGAGATAACCTGATAGCCTTTCGGCTTTTCCATACCTAGTATAAAGAGGAAATCAGAAGTTTTGTTGGAGCGAGTTAGGCATCCATTTTCTTAAACTGTTAAGAAAATTTAACTACGTTTCAGTAAAAATATGTTGTTGAAATGATCAGTTAAACATTCTTCAACTTGTCCTTTCGCCATGACACTGTTTACAGTGCTCCTCTCAAAAGTGTCATCCGATCTTGTCGGAGTTTGTCAAGGAAAATTACTGGCAAATTCTTTAAATAACTCGAGCCGATGACGTAGGCTGGGATTTGACCATAGGAGGGAAGATGCGGCAGAGGATCTAGCAAAGCCAAGAATGCTTGAATGTATGGAAAAAATGTATACAGAATAAGTGTGAATTTAACAGGTCTTTAATAGCTGGTAAAATAAGTGTCATTTTGGCATTGGCCAATCGTTCCAGAAATTGGCAGCATAATTGTGACCTTCGTCTTTAACATCATTGTCATAAAAATGCCTCTACCGGTCACGTTAAGTCGTTCCTTAATCTATGTTCCTTAATCTATGTTAATCAACTAATTAATATGCAAAAGTTATATTTGAGGAACAAGCACCTCAATCTAGCTCTTAAATGTCGATCATAACGTAGTTGGTACCATGGTGACAGATTTGTACAAGATGCGCAAATCCAAATGAGGTAACGCTCTCATAACGCAACTACAAGTAGTATTAGAGGGGATATGCGATTTCTCGTTGCGTCATCGTTCCGAGTTCCAGTCAATCATTCCCCTTATAGCATCGAAACCACGAGAAGCCGGTTGAGCTACAGTTGAACCCTTAGTTGGTTAAGAGGTATTGGGTGCCCGAGACTGTCACAATAGCCGTGCAAAGGCATGGCACAAAACGGAAGGACTCTGAAATAAAACCATACCCCGAGTGAAGTTCGTAAATCCCAGGTGTTAAACATAAGTTAGACAGCGCCGCAGCGGGCAGCGCCCTGGGGCGTCCTAGCCCCTTCGTCGGTCCCGAACCTTCCACTTTAACCCCGGAGTGAAAGGGCGGGACAACTTGTCTTCTTGAACTTGGTCTCTTCGTCGTCGAATTACTTGCAAGTGCAACGTAGGCACTATCTGAACGCTTGCCAATACTGTGAAAACAAATTAAATGTTTTATTACATTACTTTGCATCTTTATTTGATTGTTAGTCAGTGTGCTACTTTTGTCAGGCTTGATATCAAAATACGTACCTTAAACTGGTAGCATCTACCGCATCGATCTTACATCAAGAACCCTAGTGGTTTGTAGGTCAAGTTGACAGAATAAAGCAGATATTTGTAAGTTGTGACCAGGTATACATTGCGGTGGTACCAAAGATTTCCCATATTAATCGTGCTTTATTAGGGCTCATTATTGGTAATTGTTCAAAAGCGTGCCATGTGTTTTTTAATTAATTATGTTCCATTTGTAAGAGATAGAAACAAGTATTATATCGTAAAGTCATTAGACTGGTTTAAAGGCAGTTAAGTTCGTGTCAAATTTCAGATCGTTGATTTGCAACACATGGAACCAGGGTTGCATTGGTGTGGAGGAAAGTAAATAATCCAGTCAACGTCGAGCCAAGTAACAAGTGAAATCACAATTATCATATTTCACAGGCAGAACAAATGTAACAAAACAAAGCTTTTGTGGTCGTTTGTTGCAGTAGCTCCCGACTCGAGACTGGAAGAGTGGTAAACGGTTTATGAATGGCTTCTGATTTTTTGACTTCAGCTAAAAGAATTGTGGATAGAAAAAAACATATCACAATTGCATCCGGGACAGTTGACGATGCACGTTCATGGACTTTGAAACTGACCTAAAGTTGTTATGAATGAAGCGTAAAAACAAATACTAAAACCAGGAAATTCAAAAGCAATGAAACATGAAGGGAAGCTAGCCTATTTTTCCATCATAAAGCAGGTGTAGAGTTTTATGCAGTTTTCTACAGGACCTGTTCCCTTTTCTCTTTGCTCCTGTTTGCCTGTAGCTGTGGGTCCAAAGTGTATCACCTTTATGGGCGTGCCGTGTAATGTTTGGTAACTTCCATCGTGTATGAAAACAAGCCTGCTGCGCGGGCATTCCGTGGCTTCAGGCGACAGTTTATTGTAGAAACTTGTTAGCGAACCACGTTGCACCAAGGTAGATCGTGACGGTGTATAAGTTCTGCAAAGTGAAATTATCATCCGTCTTACTTTTTAAAGCTGGAATGATTATGGAAAGGTCCTCATGCTTTTGTTCCGCTCAGATAGCAAGTGGTTGATTTCAACAATGATTCCATTTCATTTGTCTTGTTTAATGCTAATACGTATGTATTTGAATTGTGAAAGAGATATTGGTCAGTATAGCTTTTTAAAACTTTAAAACATATTTTTTTAAAACAAATTTAAACAGTGTTTTTTCACCGGGGACGTGGCTTGCTTATGGACATAAGCATAACATTGTTCATTCCTTTGGCCATTTTTAAATGAATTTGCGATCTGCATACCCGTCGGAGTAATGACGCAGACACCCCTGTAAGATACAACAATTGTACATAATCACAAATTAAACAGATTAACAAAATTTGTATCGTTTAAAAGTGCTGTGCACAAAAACGTTGAGCGGCCTGGGTGGTATTTTACAAGGAACGCCTTCAGACAGTTGTTCAGATTCCCCCCGTTGATGGCCAAGTTCAGCCAGAGTGCAGGATAGATTGGGCGGGATAGCGCGACCTTGCGATGACCTAGCGGTCAGTTTTGCATAAATTGTACAGAGACTACGATTGGGTCGCTTAACACCCATATAGCTCATGTGAGGAATGTTTTAGAGGCGTCTTAATCTCGGCTTGCGTGTCCGCTGCACAGTGAGCCCGGGCGTGAAACTGATTGCTTGCGACGTGGAATTCAATCACATTTGAGGAGAGAAAAAAAAGTTTTGCGAAACAGGTGAGCGGGGTTGAATCAGTTGTGTGCCAAACATAGACGTTTTTACAGAGTGAAGTCAAAGTAGTGTGAAGTCACCAATGCAGATATCCCGCGCAATATGTTTCACTAGCAATTTTGGCCCAACAGTGTGGGCTAACAGGACAATTGGAGCTAATGACATTTTCTCAAGTGACATTTTTTCAGACTGTAGAAAACATGTCACATAATGTCTTAAGTAAGAGATTTCCGAAAGTCATCTCAGTTCGCTACTTGTTTTTACGAAACATTCCAGTGATGTACCTTAAGGCGTACTGTTGCTTCCTTCCTTTAATCCTGGCTACTTTACGTTGTCAGTTGCTTCCCTAGCTTGGCTGCTAAGCACGTACGCATCCTAGTTTGGTTGATTCAAACCCACATCTTCGATAAAGTAAAACAACAATACCACATCACTTGCCCCCGTTGCGGCTCGACCTTTAGCGGGCCCAGGGTTGCTTGTACTTTTACCTTTCCCCTTTCGACGACACGCATTCAGCAGGGACAGTAATTAGGTTTTCAATTTCACAGCTACGCTAGATCGGCCACAACGGAAAACGGAACATGGATTAGAGCGGCAGCTCGTCGACGAATGTTGTACCAAAATTAGCGCCAAGCGGGTCCGTAATGGGCTCCCGTAGGTCTCTGCTGGCCATCGCAACAGATGCGCGTGTGCGGACTGTTTGAGGCATGTGGTCTTGATTTTGCCTCGATTTTCCTCTTTGCCTTAACGGCCGGACCCGACTTAACAGGAGTTCATGTATTTTTTTAGGGTATTTTCCAATTAAACTGTGCTTGCATAGTTTGAATAACGCTTGTCATGTTTCATTTGGCGAGAACATTAATGTGTAGCGGCAGGTCTGAGTTAATGGCATTGATGACACTTCCATGAACTTGTACATAAACACCCGTGATACGAAATTACATATGAATTACGGTGTGTGAATACGCTTATGAAGCAAGACACGCCTTAGTATCATGTTTGAAAGTAACTTCAACCGGAAGACGCAGGCTTTTGGGGTATTTTTCTAATGAAAGTTATCAAGTAAAGCTGTGCCATAATTTTTTTTAGGTATTTCTGGTTTTGACGTTTTGTTGATGAAAACTGGAAACGTTGTATTCGTGTTACTTTTATTTATCACCAATTAGCTTTTGTGTTTGTTTAACATTTTGTTCGTTGTTTGGTTAGTGGTAAACTAGATAGCGCAAAGACTGGTGCATAGATCTCAGTACTATTTATGTGACGCTGCTCTTTAAAATATACAATATGTTTTGATAACTTAGTAATGGAGATTCCTGCAACCCTGTAAATCATCTGATATTTCTCATCACCACTTCTGTCTTAATTAAGACAACCTCGTTAGCAGTAGAATCTGGTCTGTCTTTAATTCGGGCTGCGCCAACGGTGACGTTTCGATGGAGTCAGTGGCTTGCGTGCGGACTAGCCGTGGAGCGCAGGTCTCGTGTCCTTGCGTGGCGGGATGTCGATCCAAATGCAACGGATAAGGTTACTTGGAAGTCCAGGCCAAAAAGGTCTCCCGAACACCAAGCAGCCTAACTATTGATTACATTGTCTTTCACGTTCATAAAAACGTCCATCTGTTTCTCAAAGCTTCAACAGTAGTGAGCTGAAAACAATTCATAATGAGAGTATGTTAAAAGTCGTCATGTTTGTCAACGCTGCAAAATGTAGAAAAGGAATAACATTATTCTACCATCGATTTGCATCCCGTCAATTAAGGACATGTATGTCGGGTACATTCTACATGGCTATGGGAAATTGTCAGTAAATGCTCCTGATGACAACAACAATTAGCCTCAATTAAAGCTTAAAGGTTATTTTTATCTGTTGTGGACCCGCCCGTGCTTTGAAAAGCTTCCAGTTTGCTCTTAAAAATCTAAATCCAAATTTTTAGCATACCGTTTGGCAATTTGCCAAACACTTCCCACGCCCTACAATTTAAAAAGAAACCGTGGAGCTTGAGCAAAATTGCATTATTTTTGTCGGACGGGTAGCTTGGCGCTCATCGGCAAGCCCCCACCCCCATAAAAAAGTAACTCATCCAAAAATATTCCTTACCTTTGACCCGACCCATCTCGGCCGGTATTCAAACGGAGCGTATTGTTAGCAGCAGGTGTGTCTCACCTGGAATGTTCCTACTGACAGGTGACGTGGTGCACCGCAGCGACGCGATTGGACAAGCCATTGGAAAAAAAAAACAGCTGACGCAGGCACTGATATGTTAATTAGAAAAATAATGTGAAGATATTGGGAACATTCGAGACAGTTGTCACGAAACCCTTTAAGGTGAAAGGTCGGAAACTTTCAAAAGTCAGTAGAGTTTGAATCTGTGTTAACATTCAGTGGCGAACATTAGAAAGGGATGGTGACGGTGATTCAATTTTAAGTCATTCCCCGTGTGAATATTCTAAACTGTGACTTTAATGGAGGTAAACTTTGCACAAAATTCGTTGACACCGATGTGGAAGTCGGCATACTCAACTAAAAGCAGTGTCGACCGATCTGTCATTTTCAATGTGTGTGCAGGCGCGCATGCGTGTGAGCAGCGCCATAGAAATTTACATTTTAATAACTTTACACAAAAAATCCGTCAGGGCAGAATAAATGAAATTTCTGCACGTCCGAAAAAAGGAACAATTTGGAGCCCCCAATTTCAGAACCTGTTTTATTTTAAAGCTGACTTTCAACTTGATGTGACAGGTTTTGTTGGGTAAACATTAATGTAAGTTCCCAAGGGGAACCTACATCTCGGCAAACATGAAGCCAAAGGCCTTGGTTTTAGGTTATGTGGTTTGTTGTCGTGACGGTCAGAGAAAGTGATGAGATTAAGTCAATGTCATCGGAGACCGCCCTCATTAACAGGAAAGGAACCCGAGACCGATCGAGAAATTCAGGAAACTGGTCATAATATATACTGAAATGAAAATAAACGAATCTAAATTTACGAATGTGATTTGCTTTTCTCTTTCTTCAGAGTGATTTTTGTTTTAATTTTGAAGGTTCCATTTATTATTATTTTATGAATAAACACTGACCCAAAGAATCAGCTCCCACAAGTAACAATGTGCAGTATTAACAAGAACAATTTGTTGAAAAAGTGATTGGGGAAACAGTAAATCAGACGAGCCAAATGCATTTTTGATTTTTAAGAAGATTATGTGCTCTTGAGTATAGAAGGCCTTGCTTCCTGTAATTGGACGATGTTCCTGAGTTTCCAGTCACTTTGATAAAATGGAAACATCAGCTTGAAGAACTTCCTACTGTCGACTGCTGAATGAAGGCTTTCACCTCATCGTAGTTGAGAAATGGGACTCCATTGCCAAAAGGCAATGTCAAATACAATAGCACTACTTTTAAGGCACTGCAGCTTTGGTTATGCCAGCAGTCTGTGCTAAAATATGTCAGAGTCGAGTTGTTACAGAATTCCTTGCTCATGGAGACGCTTGTCACATTTTCACCGATTTGTTTTCATGCTTTGTGACGTTTCGTTGAGAGAAATTGTCACAGTTTTCGTGATGTTTTTCTTTACCCAGTGTCTTGTCTCTCAATTTCCTCACAGATGGCCTGTCAGGCCAGAGTTGTGTGTGATCTCAATGTTCCTTGCAGTCTCATTTTATCGAAACGGAGTGACAGCACGTGAGTATTTCTACTCTATAAAGGTCAAAGAGTGAAAATCTCGCTCTCCAAAAGAGTAATGCCCTTAAGAAAACACTCTAAAAAAGAGTGAAAGCCACTCCAAGAGAGTGAAACTTCCACTCTGCCAAGAAGCCAGAGTCTGCTTAAAAAGGAATGAAAAGTATACTTGATGATTAAAATACGTTTAATACAAACCAAATCTGATAACATATCAGAGCCAAAATTTGAAAAAGTGTCAAATTGTTACAGATTGAAATTCAGAGGTTAGCAAAACTGGCGACCGTGTTGCTTTGAAAGCAGCATTGAATTTAGATGTTATATAATTGCAGTCTAAAGAATCCGTGTATGTATTTTGGATGGAGTATAGTTGAAAGGAAGCTGCATATTTTATTACAAATAGTTCTGAAAACGATATTATTTATATAAAAATAATTGTTTTCACTTACAAAGTAAGTTTTTTTTGTTAGTGCAAGCAATTGGGTCTTGGTGCAATAAATGTGTATATTTTGTCAATGAAAAATATCAACCATTGTCTCAATTCTTGATACAGTTTCAGGAAATGAAAATTCTTTCGAACTCTCATGTGTCACCATTTAGCCCTCAAGACTAAAAAGAAAATTCCGTTTCAAAGGAACCGGTCATGGAGCTAGAAAAGCCAATGTTAAGAGCTCCCGAATGCTTGATGATCTGCCCTTAAATTAATGATCAAGAACCGAACTTGGAATGAGCAGAAGCTTGTTTGCCGCGGGCGTCCCGGGTTATGTGTCCAGTTCAAGGGCGAGCCGAACTCAAGCTGCCAGAACTGGTTAGCTGTGGCGCGACAGAATCGGCAGAGCCTCACAGACATTGAAGTTAACCCTGTTTAGGTGGAACGTGGGATGGCTTTGTAGTGGTCTGTGCTCTAAAGCATTCGACCTTAAATTTGACTGGGCCAGGGTCCAAATTTGCTCACTCCCATTCTGGGTCCAAAATTGACACCTTTTCAGGCTACAATATGACATTCCACACGTCTTTTGAATCTAAAAAGTGTCGTGGTAATGGATTGCGAAAGGTTAGAGCCCGACTTCGGATCAATTCGACCAAGGAACTTGTCAAGAGGAGCATTGATTTCAAAACTATATGCAGTAAATGCCAAAGCATTACACTTGTTATCAATTTTCAGATATAAGCATTGATGCGTTTATTAAAATCACATTTACAGATTTCCATTCTAGCTTTATAGTGTTGGAAAACTGCATGATATTGACATTACCATGGTGTGTCGATTTGATGAAACCTAGAAAAAGGGAGCCCATTCGTGGAGGTGTTTTGCATGTTAAGTTTCTTTAGCTTACCGGTATTTACTAAAGTACGATTCCTGCAGTACAATAACATGGTAGGCTGATTTCCGTTATGTCTAATGTGTTGCTTTTCCTGCTTTGCTGGCTTCTATCCTTCCCTCTTCTTTCCTCTCTATGCCTTCAACTTCCTCCTATACCAATTCTACAAAATGGTAATCTGTTTCCTCTACTTTTCCCCACATCCCTATCTCCATCTTTACCTACCCTTATCCTCGCTTCAAATGCTGCCGATGTCCTCGGTCGACACTTCATCACCAACGGATGAACGTTTTGGCTTTCATCTGACGATGACGCTTTTGGTCCAAAAAATAACCAACCCCCAATTGCTGCCACCTTCCATTGTGACGCCGTGCCGGTGAAACCCTACCAACCGGTCGTTGCCAACCCAAAAATCCTCACCCATCCTGCTGTCAAAGATGCAACCCTTCATTCTTCACCACCACCATCATCACATCACCATCATCACCACCATGACCTTGCTTTGACGCTGCTATACCGCTTGCAACCATAAAAACTGTTTCCAAACTGCACAAAAGGAGTTCAACTTCCCTTGTACTTGGCAGAAACATTGGAGACGCTGGAATGCCCGGATGACATCAGGATCGGGGAAAATGACTTACCAGGTCAGCTCAGAATTGTCTAACATTTGTGGTCAGGTTTTGTTTCAGCAGTTCAGTCCTACGCGACTTCAAATTCTCCAATTTTAATATGATGAGCACACAGGGTAATACAATTTGATGGAGTCGTCAAAGTACCGAAGTACACTCGATATTCATATTTTAACACGATGGATTTGGAAAGTATTGTTCATAATCTTGTAATAGGGTCTTCAAGACTGAGTTCGAGGCCTACAACCGGATCATAGTGCTTTCACAGGTTAGGTTCATAACCACCAAGTTGGGTTGGGACGGGATGCATGGAGTAGGAAGGATCGAATGACCGATTTCCCAATCTGAACGGAGACCGCCTATTAAAAGTGCAGGTTGTGTCGCGGTCAGACGTTACTGATCTAAGGTCAAAGGAAGGAAAAGGGGCCTGCCTGTCTTTATACAGACACGTCTCCAGCACTAATCAATATGTAGACCTACTCTATTCCTTCGCATCTGATGCTTTACCAAATATGGCTCATGTAAAATTATTGACAAAATACGAGGCTTCAGTCTTCGTAAAGCTGTGCTGTCTACAAAAAAGAGTGTTCAAATATCAATATTTTTAGCGCCTTTTTGTTGCTGTCAAATCAATAATATTGATAAATGTGATTTCCATTGACACATTTCCTCCGAAGGTTGGGATGTGATCAGGCTGTTTACATTGGACGACCAGGCGTCAGGCATTAAAGAGATCCCTGGTTCTAACGAGTATCAAACAGCTTACAAGATCAACAAGAAGAGCGACCTGGTTCGATTCCCCACAAGGTACTCTTTTGGAAGCAGATTCTGAGGATAACTGAGAAAACGTTTCCTGCCATGGTCTGTGTAATTTATGGATTTCAAACATCGAGAACTGATCATGGTAAACAGCAGACTTTTTTATTGCAGGTCTCTAAATATGTTCTTGAGTATAGATTACCTTGGATTATCTTTTTTCGGCATCAGTAGGATTTTTGCCTACCTCTTGGAGTCAAGCTCACCAATCTAGAGTGGGGTCACCCCCAACTTGAATCAAGCTGACTGGTTTCAGTCAGTTTGACCCACTTGGAGTCAGAGTGACCCACTTTTCTTGCTGACTAGCGTTCAGTCAGGCTGATCCGCTGTGAGTCAGAACTAACCAAACCATTAGCCACGATGCAACCCACACTGACTTCTTCATGCCCTCCACAGCGCACTCTTCCCGGACGGTCTTCCCGATGAGTTCTCCTTCGTCTCCACCTTCCGGATGTCCCCGGCAGCTCGCCGAGAGGACTGGCTCCTTTGGCAGATCAGGGACCCTGCCAAGGTGCCGCAGCTTGCCTTCAGACTCAACGGTGAGCAGCGAGCACTTCAAATAGTCTACGTGGACACAGAGAGACAGCTACAGAGTGTCAGCTTCAGGTATGTTGCCATTTTTTTTCCAGAAACCCCTTCAATACTCCTTGAACCATTTGCAGATCGGTGGAGAACGGGGCCATAGCCATAGTACAGAGAAGGTTTCAGGATTTTGAGCATTTAAGGGAGGTTTGGGTGAAAGAAGAAACGTTCACTGGTTCTCAGAAATTCATCGACGCACAGAAGTTATCTCCTACGTGCTACTGCGACCTCAGCAACACCTTTTTGGCCTCTTTTAAAAAGGAGAACCATTTTGCACTATCTCACTTTGCTCTGTTTTCCTAAGCGTGTGAAAAGTCTACAGTGAGTCCCATACCTCAGGTAGGCCATAAAGATTACGTCAAGAAGTTTGGAAACATTTAACCCCCCAAAAATGCTGCTTTCTACCGAGAAATTAGGTTGCGAATCCACCCTTGCTTTGAACCTGATTTTGCTCATCATTAAGAATATAAAGGTACAGACCTTTATCACGATGTTGCCACGTTTGTCTTGGTCCCTGCAGACACATTGGCAATAGTAATAGAACTCCACATATTGATAAAAGGGAACAGACTATTTCTCCTACCAGCCCCAGTTTGGTTACATTGGTTCGAATGGTAGAAGAGCAAGAAGGTTACTCCGTGATACAGGTGGATCTGGTCTTCCTGGCGTTTTGTTGAAGTCTATTCCTTCTTATCTTGTCAGGGATGTGGAGGAGCTGTTTGACGGCGATTGGCACAAACTGCACATTATCATCCTGAACGACCGAGTGACCGTGTTCGTCGACTGCAAGATCGTATCGTCGACTCTGATTTCCCCGCGCGGCGTCGTGGACTACAGCGGGAAAATCAGCATCGGCAGGACCCTCCAGGACGACCAGCCGGTTCCGGTAATGTAGTGGTGGTTACTAGACCACTTCATCTCAAAAGGAAGAGATCACGCGGTTGCATGACGCAGTCGTACACCTTGCCCTCCATCTTTGATCGCCCTAGTTCAAAACGAGGCTCATCAGTGTGAAGTCGTTACACCTTACTTACCACAGACATTATTATAATGGAAGTCAATGGAACCTGGAGTAAATTGTAATTAATGAAGCGTGTGCATGCACGTGACGCAGACACTAACGTACAGAACAACATAAGGGGTTGTTCTTTTATTCCGGAGGAAAGCCTCCTTTGTGCATACCCCGTGGAACTATTACCGGCCTCCAAGATGGCATCCATGCAAACCCTCTATATTCTTTGTCTCGTCTTCTTGCTTTTCTTTAATTTATTTCATGTCAGGGCCGCTGTCTCATACGGTGGTGAATCAGTAAAACGAATAATTTACTTCTTCTGTTTTTCACGAACACCGATTGAGTTTTACTCTGCAAACACTGGCCGTGGAATCAGTGTTACTTACCGATGTCTGCTCTCCTCGATCTTTGTGCAGTTCGATTTGCAATGGATGATCATTCACTGCGATCCGTCGAGGCCAGAGCGAGATAACTGCGACGAACTCCCGGTAAGAATGACGGCAACTGATCTGCTATTTAGCATCGGTAAAAAGAACAATCAAGACACTCCAAATCTTAATTGAATTACGGAATTGCTCATTTTGAGATCCTGTTTTTAAATGCACTTATATTCAAACTTTGGAATGAATGTTGCTTATAAATACGTATGCCAAGATATTTCAACGATTTTTCTGTCTGTTATTTTTCATCTTGTAGCCGAAGACAGGCCCGGTAAGTTATATTTGAAATAGTTTTGTCCACTTTACATAAGCTTCAATGAAACATCCCTTAAAAATTTTCCCTTTATATACGATATACATGGAGTTTGCAAAAATAGAAGGAAGACAGGCGAAACTTGATGTTCTTTAATTTTTCAAGCATGTGAAGAAATCACTTTTTTATCCATGGTGACTAGTGCCTGTAAATATGGACTGAAATCAGTCTGTTGGACTTTAAGGTCTACCATTAACCGTTGGTGAAGGAGTTACCAAGGGGTTAACGCAGTGCATCAACGAAGAATAGGATTAATACATGTAGGCCTACCTGGTGATTGATGGCACGATAGGAGTAACCTCGCGAGAGGAATTCCGATCCATCATCTAACTTGCTGTTGTATTGTCACCATTATTTCTGTCACCTTACGGAGTTTGCTCATTTCTTGATTTCAATTTTTGTTTGGGGGGTCAGACTCCTGGTACTTGTGAGCAGGTGTGTCCACCGGGACCAGCGGGTCCAGAAGGACCGACGGTAAGCCCCAAAAATGAAAATATTTAAGACTCACATTTTAAAGATTTACTGCAATAAAGCGTATTTCTAGTATGCAACATTCAAAAGAAGTATGTAAATATACAAATTTTGTCTTGGCATGGAATTTGAAATATTGACACAAGAATAAAATGTATTGTACATTAAAAAAAATCTTTGTTCAGAGAATCTATGGATTGTTTTTTTTTCAGCTATGTTAATCAGTTTTTACTTATCACTTTTAAATTCAGTTAATTAATTCGGTTTCCAATTTGATTTAAAGTGAACAGTTTTAGTAAGTCTTCAGTAAGACAAATCTGCTTTATGTTCATTGTGGCCATACTTGGTGTGTTGATAGGGGGCCCTGGGAGCACCAGGTCGACCAGGGCGAGATGGGGACCCCGGCCTCCCTGGCCCAGCTGGGCCGGTAGGACCACGCGGTGTCGACGGATTCCGGGTAAGTATAGGCAAGCCAGCGGAAGATCTTAGAAAGCATTCCCATTAACGAAGCGTTTTCTTTACATACGTCCAAGTCGTGGCATAAGCGAGTCAATGTTAAAGTGACAGAGATGGGATAATAGGAAGTACAATAAGTAAGAACAGAAAGTAATGAAGATATTTACACAGTGCACAAATCGGAAAAGACGGAGGCATTTTTACAAAGCATGAATTTGCAAGAAAAATACAAACTCAAAAGTTCCAACTTAACGGTCCACTCTCACTGACCGTTCTTCAATTTGTTGAATTTTAGGAAATGTAGTTTAATGGTTGCGGTTTTTAAAACTTTCATCTTTTTTTACTCTTTTCACAGGGATCACCAGGCTCGTCCGGACCACCTGGACCACCAGGCCCACGGGTAATATTTTTACCGTTTCTTATTTTTTTGTTCCTAAAAGTTTTAGCTTGTATAGAATCTTTTTATCTGCTTGTAAAATGTTTAATACTTACTTCCGAATTCAAAAATAAATAATATTTTTTCTTCAGGGTGACCCCGGACCCATGGGCATTGATGGAGTGAATGGATCTCCAGGGGAAAAGGTAACGAAAACGAATAAACTATTTCTGATTTTTTTCTGGGATCTCTACAGTTTTTATAATCAGTGCTAATGTATTGTGTCTAAACGTAGATAATTGATAAAAAAGTGATCAAAATCAAAAAAATAAACACATGTATAAGGTTCTGCGATTTGCCCACCAAAACTAAATGTGGTGTCCGTAATGTTATTTATTGAGCGAAAACGGTGTTGTGACTGATGTTAATCGGTTCTTAACTTTAGCCTCCAAAATTCCATTTTTAGACTTGAGATGAGCGACCCTCTCATTCCTGGTCGATTAACGAGTGGTTTCTATTTTGTTAAAATTTACAGGGCGATATAGGTGAACCAGGCCTCATCGGACCAGTCGGTACGCCGGTAGGTAAACCGTTGCAAACACCCGCAAAAGAGAGGACAGCAAATTGAAAAAGCAGACCAATTATCCAATGATAATGATCAAACTGTACATCAAAGGGACACATTAAGTAATAGTTGATGTCCAGTGATCTGTATCTCTCAAAGGTTTCCATACCACCGGTGGCGAAATTTAGGCCCTATGGTATTTCTAGTGAACAAACGGTTCATTACTGAGACCAGTTGTTTTAAACTGTATCTTTTCTGTTGTAAGCAGCATAGAGCCTATGTGTAAAAATCCACGGTGGTCCATCGAGACGGTGTTTATCCCTGTCGTTACTGCAGTGTATAATTGTTTTCAATTTTTGACAGGGTCAACCAGGTTTTCCTGGCCCACAAGGACCACAGGGACCTCCAGGCGATTTAGGCAGCATCCAGGTATAAAGAAAAATACATTTTATTACCTTGCACATTCATGTCCATTGTACAGGTATTACATTGCCCGTGTAATGTGATGTTTAATTTATTTGTTTGGCCCAGGATCTGATCACTGAGCTTGGTTTGCTGAAGGGAGAACAGGGCTCACCCGGTCTGCCTGGTTTGAACGGAGTTCCGGTAAGTGGACTCTCACCCATAAAACCGTCCAACCTACAGAGAAAAGATTGGCTTGCAAAAATTCATCCCAGAAATTTCCTGCCATGCATTTTGTCATTGCTGTTTTCCGATTTGGCACTATGTCACTGGCAATGCTGATCATGTTGAGTACATACACTGAGGAATGTTGTCGCCTGTACCGTAAATAGCCGACAGGTCACAGAAGACATTGGGGTGGCATTCCATTTTAGGAAAACATACGGCAGAAAGTTAAATCTCCTTGTGATTGGATCACTTTTATTGTCGTTCATACCCTAGCGTTTGAAATCATAATTTGCATATTCCTTACATCTCATACTTTTCAATTGAAATCATCGTCCAAATATAATGTTGGTTCAATTTTGATCTCCTAATTTAAAATGGATACGTTTCTTTTCGTCTCAGGGAGAGAACGGTCGCATGGGTCCACGAGGACCGCGTGGTCCCACAGGCCAAGCTGTGAGTAAAACTCTTCCTTTCAGCTAATATTTTCAGTTTTGCTTACACTTTCTATTACCGCTAAAGCATCAGAAACAGCAGGTTTTATTTTCACGTTCAACTGCCGTACATGACAGCAACACGCCGACCACAATTCTCATGAGCCCCAGTGTCTCACAGCAGCCGTAGCAGTAAAATACCCCCCACGAAAAGCCAAACTTTACTGACGACATTGGCAGGGTCACCACTGAAATATCAGGACGCATCCTGCGATTCTGACAAGGTCGGTTCTCCATCTGACGAGAAGGCATGTTCAGTTTCCTTTCTTTGACCGAGTGTGTCGTCAAAGTGACCAGTGAAGTTGAGACAATTCAGACCTTTAAATGTTGCCAGCGAAAAGTCTCTATTTCTGTTCAGAAGCAGAGTGACTTAAGCAGTTGCCGGTTGCCATAAATGCATCAGCCCCATCTTTTCCGACAGTCCACCTCAAACAGAAGCGCACCTGCCTCGGTTGGAAAGAGCCGCGTTGGACAGGAGTGCTCATTTTGAAGGGATAGCAATGTGACTGTGATGCGTGCATTTCCTATGGCCGTTCGTGAAGTAGCGAAGTTCAGTTCCGACCAAAGGAGCCTCCGTTGCTAAGAAACTAGCGCCCTCTCTTGGTTCAGCTCAAGGCCCTTTGCAACAATACACATGCCAGCTGTTCATGTGATTTCCACCGAAGGCGAATGATATCGTCATCGTTATTCTATTCGAGGATGCAATCACTTTGTCCCCCGACCTCGATTCCTCATTTCAAACATCTCCTAATTGCATGAGTTGTGTCTTTAATTTCAAGACCATGAATACCGAAGTCTGAGGAAGGTAATCACACCTTTGTGTCTGTTTTGCTCTCAGGGTCTAAATGGTGAAGACGGCACCAAAGGTGCTCAAGGCGCACGGGGCCCAGAAGGACCGCAGGGACGTCCAGGGCCTCCCGGTCCACCCGGTACACCCGTAAGATACCAACACTAAACGATTATCGGAGGATTAGCCGGATTCATATCAATAACGTTAACTTGTTTTGCCGGGATCACTGGAAAGTTGGCTTGTATGAAAAACAATTTTAACATGCATACGATTGTACAGGTTGTGGGTTTGCCAATATGAGTGTAATTTTAGAACATTTCAATTGAAATGAATCGCACTTGTCTGCATTTAAGTAATTTTGTGAGGAAGTTACCGCATCGTGCTAAAGGAGCCTCTGTAGACACTGCCTGTTTCAGCCCGAGAGGTGATTATCCGCTTTTTGCGTCCTGAATGAAATCATCGATTGGGCATTTTGAACACGGCTGGTGTTTACACACAGTCTTGCATCATTAAAATGACAACACCCAAATATTTATGGCTTGCTTCATTTCACAACGAGTATTTGATATAACTGTTTGCTTTATTCTCTTATGTCTGAGTTTAGGGTGACATCGGACCCGGACCTACGCCAAATATTGTGGTAAATATTCAGAGTTTCCGGTGTCTGACTCGCATCCATGTTCTTGTTTGTTAAAAACCACTGTTGTCTTTGTCTGTCTAGAGCACGGGAAGTGAGTTTACGCAACAGCCGACGGCAGTCGTGGTCAGTATGTTTGTATGACGTCATCGCTTGACCTTTCACCTGATGTCATCACCCGGAATGAATTTGTAGAATGACCCCGTACCTTTCATCACGTTCATGATTCATCCTCTTCACGCTCATAAACGGCTTAAAACCTCTGATAATCATGTGGCATAGATTTTTAGATAGAGAACGAAAAGACATCTACCTTTTGGTAGATGTTCCGAGAGGCATTCATGTTTACAGATAGGGCTATTATTTGACATAGCCATGCCAGTTGGCTCATGAGACTGACGGTAAATGTTTAATACACGCTTACAGCCATTTCCCTCCCTGAGACACACTTTTCTCCCGCATTCATCGATTCCATTGTGTGGACAATTTTCATCCGTTTTTCCTCCCGATTCCACCAACCCGTACTGTTCCCACTTACAAACTCACCAACATCACCATCATATCTGCCTCTTCACCGCTTAATATAATAGTTATAGTCTCATTTCGAGGAGCCAACTTGAGACCCGCAAATCTATCGTGACATTCCTCTGTGCCACTGGAAATTCGTTACTCTTCGGTGTTCGACAGTACATGTAGCTGATTTGCCATTTTGTTCATATTTGTCATGTTGCTCGTTCTTTTTTTGTTGGCCAGTTTCCTTCATGGTAGTTTTGTGCTAGTTTTGTCTGCAGGCGTACACATCACATTCACTTCGTTGTACTTACATCCGTGCAAGTTTTGAGTGAGAGGTTTCCTGTCACAAAAAAACTGTTTTTGCCACAACAGCTTGCTCGTCTTTTATGAAAAAGTGTGTTCTTTTATTCATAGAAAGAGTGGACTTTGTTGTTCGAATTTCCAGCATGTCTACCAAGTTTCTCCTTCAAAGATCAAAGACGTGTTTTCCGTTTCTCTTTAAACTCTTACAGGGACCTCCAGGCGAGCCCGGACCTCCAGGACCTCGTGGTATACAAGGACCGCAGGTGCTGACTGCTTAGCATTAGTAGAAAAAACAGTGAAAAGTATTCATTATTCTCCCAACTGGATAGTTCGTAAGTGCGACGTCACTTCAGTTTAAACCACGCTCACTGCCCATAGGCCGAGAGCCACATGGGACCATTGAACCGAAAGGTATAGTGCGCAACTCGAGTGCTTGTCCAATGAGAGCTTGCAATCAGTGGCGTGTGCGCGTGTATGACGAAGTCACTTGCGAACCGGACAGCAGTGAGTAGGACAACAGTTAATAGATAGATTTCACATTAGCGCCGTCTGCGCATATCCGCATCGAAACTGAGGCTCTCAGTGTTGAACTTCCTCGCGCGCGCCCGTGGAGTCGACACAGTAATGCAGTATCCGGTCAGTAAGTGTGGTGCTACTTCAGTTTAAACCACGCCCACTGCACAAGATAAACGACCATCGCAGGTACGTTAGTTCGCGGTAAATTGCCNAAACATACCTCTGCGTATTTTGTGTCTTGACTTCTTACTTTCAATCGTCTTATCGAATTAATAATTGAAGCTGACACATAGGCCTACAGCCTCGTTTTCAAACGCGGAAGTGCGCAGATCGACGCTAAAAGCGTCGTATTGGGATCCTCTATTGTTCTCATGAATGATTACTACATGTATTTAGTCAGACAAGCTCCTTACGATTGGTTAGAAAAGTTACGGTAGTCAGACGTGTCTTCTGTCTCTTCAGTCTCGGGCAAGGCTTTAAATGAAAGCAAAGTACATGTATAACTATTGACGTGGCTTCTCATTAGATCAGATTATTAATATCAGTGTTTGTAAGGTCACAGACTGTCGACACTGAAGCACCCTGGTTCCTTTGTCGTGGCTAATTATTATGACCTAACGAGCCCGTTAAAACTATTCCGTTGTTTAACAGGGCGAATCCGGTGAGAGAGGCAACATTGGTAGACCGGGACCCCCTGGGGCAAAGGTACAGTTAAACGTCTTCAGTATTATGCAAAGCCACGGTTTACACAGCTTAAACTGCCCAAGTGCAGATAAAATGGTGAAATGATAGGGACACAAATCAAACAGCATGCACATTGGGCAGTTCGTAGAGTTCTGGGAATGATTATTTATGGTTTTGGGAATACCGGCACATGTTAAAAGCAAATTGTTTTCCTAAATTGTTTGGCAACTGAAAGTTCACTGACAGTGTTTTGGCAAGATTCTGTTTCTATTTGCCAGACTTTTGTTTTGTTTCAGGGTGAGGACGGGCCGCAAGGTCCACCGGGAAAGATTGGCGAAAGAGGGTCCCCGGTAAGTGGGCTACACCAAACAGCGGAGAGCAAACGAAAAAAGTCGTCTTCTTTGTTTAACAAAATCCTGCCGTTGATTTGAATCAAGGGGTAAAAGATTCATGATAAAGGATTAGTTTTCAGTTTGGTATCATAGAAACCGCATTTAAGCGTCCCAGGAATACTAGATTTAAAGTTGAAAGCATTCACTGGAAACGAATGAAATAATATAGCATGAGATTTAGAACCAGTAGTATTGATTGCCACTTGTGAGTATATACGTCCTCCCTGTACTTAGCTAAACACTTCCCTATCCCCTCTGCCTACATTAACGAAACGGGCTCAATCCCACCCCCTTTCGAACAACCCCTTATTTTTTTCCTTGCCGAGTTGGACAAAGTCTGATTGATCTCATCCTTGTACAGTCGTCCTTCTCGTAATGGCATTCTAATTTGGATGGTTTAAATCTTTTCCTTTTGGCAACAATGGCTTACGACGTCTGGCATATCGCGAGATATGTCTTAGGCCGAGTAGGACCTTACGTCTACTCTGAAATATAACAGGTGAAACGTTGGAAAGACTGTTATGTGAGCCTTTGACCGGTTTACCTGCATAGTTTGATGTTACTTTTGTGCCGTGGATAGGAGAAACCAGTCTCAGTTACCCGGCTTCTCCAACAATATGAAACGGCTATTTGCCCATAGTTGGATTTGGTTGTATTTAGAAAGGTTAGGGTTGAGTTCATCCCAGGAAACGCAACTAAGTTAAACATTTCTTTGCAGGGAAGTCAAGGGCTGCTAGGACAACCAGGGCCGCGTGGTGACAAAGGAGAGGCGGTAAGTGACAATTTGTTGATCTATTCGTGTTCAGGGGCCGCATACATAGCCGAGTTGCTATCCAGGGCATTTTAAATGCTATGGTGTACCACATGTGACATTGTTTTATAAGAATACCGATAAAAATATTTTGGTTTCAGGGAATACAAGGTCTGATCGGACAACAAGGGCCACCCGGTACAGTTGGACCGAGGGTGAGTACACTAGCCCCATTAGCACTATGCTGTTACGTTGGCGTAGTGACTCTTTCCTCGCCTTCCACCTCTCCGACCCGGTTCGAATCCCACCTGGGCCCTAGGTCAGCATGTGGATTGGGTTTCAGTCCCTGCCCGATTCCGTGGGTTGTCCATGGAATAATTCCACCTCTAAAACTGAACATTTCTTCATGGTCCTCTTAACTGTCGCTTCATCTTGTAATTAGCGCCAAATGCGCTGTTGTGTGAACATTATAAATAAATAAAGATGATTGTAAGTCAATGAAACTGTGGAATAATTCTCAAAGTTTCAACCTTTTCAGGAAATTTTTAAACTATTCAAAGAGGATTGCTTTGCTTGTCCAGCTTTTTGTCGAGTTCCATAACTCGGACACGTGTTATGAATTGGGAAAAGTGAAAATTACCCCTTTTAGTCAGAGAATTATGGTTTAATCATTGCATCTCGATCCCTAACAATTCTGTCACCATTCTTCCTACGAAGGGTAATGATGGTCCTCGCGGAGCACCAGGGCCGATTGGACTTCCGGGTCCGCCAGTAAGTACTCTGATCAATTCCATTTATAATGACTTCTGTGCACAACTCTCTCCTCATCGTTGAAAATGAGAACTAGTGCCAGTTATTGGAAGACCTTTGGCGCCATCTTTCAGGCTGGTGTACCCTTTTAATAGCGATTGGTGCGGGGAACAAGCGAAGAGTCGTTTGTAAATCCTCAAATTACAAGAGGTAATTTTCGGGGCCTCTTAGGTCAACTGATGCACTGTCTAGTGTAGGAACCTTCTGGTAAAATTAACACAGCAGTCCATCTTTCCCAACCTTTTATGGAAATACCTTCGAAAGTGAAAATCTTCTCACCGTTTCCTTTGTCAAGATAGGATCAATGTTCCTCTGCGTTACCTCAGGTGACATGGCGCAAATTATTTCATGCGGTACTTCTAGCTATCCCAGAGATTGCCTTTGTTTAAACTGAAAGAGGGTAGGTGAAGACTGAATGTTACAAGAGCCGCCAGGTTAGAAAGATTAGGGTGTGATTGATAGAAAGAAACCTTGGCAGACAGATACTTGCTTCATACTTAAACCAGGCAGTGAAAGAGTAAACTGAAATATCGCCATACCAGAATCATATCATTGGTCTATAGGTTATTGACTATACTCATCATTAGAAATCGGTTATTCCAGAAATTGTTCTCCTATTGACTCTGGTTAACATCAACACAGATGCTTTCTACTGTTTGCCTTCTTACACCTTACCGGCCATAACTGTTCAAAAATTACCCACTGCTAAAACATGGATCATGTTTTCTCTATTTTTCCTTTCTTAGGGTCCCACCGGCAGCAGAGGTGCCCCTGGGTTGTTTGGAATGAAAGGAGAAAAGGTTAGTGGAAAGTGAAAATGAGAGCAACTTGTGAGTTCAAGCTGTGCTTTGAGAACAGGCCGATGTTGTGGTGCATCAAGTGTGGAAAAAACTGAATAGCAGAATTTCTTGTACAGCAATGATCACAGCATCGACTGTCTACACCTCGGGGTAGGTTCTTAGCAACGGCGCTAGAACTAGTCATTTTTTTAGTCGAACAGCGCATGCTCACTACGAAGTACACCCGCGATCATTTGGACGCGCGTGCAAGGTTTGCCGTATCGGGAACACGCGCGCGTGCTTTATTCCCGAATGACCTTGCTTATTTTTAAGGAAGTTACATACCAGTTGTCAGAACTCCCTTACCCAACGTCTCTTCATGACATTATTTACGTAAAATATCAACAACTATATAGTCCACCGCAAAGTCGAAACAGAATTGTGGTGCAAACAGATTAACCCCTTTTTTCCCCGATGAAAAACGTCAATAGAAGTGGCAAGGTTTACATACCTGAATGTAGGTTGAAGTACTTTTCTGGTAGCTCTTGTGGAAATATTCTGTCCACCTAGGGAGATACTGGTGATCAAGGACCTCGGGGCACTGACGGCATTGACGGGCAAAAGGGTGATCGAGGTGAAGAGGGCTTACCAGGAGAACGCGGTGTCCCTGGACCCATGGTGAGTTCCGATGAACTAATATTGTGTGGCTTCAAGACTGACTTTAAAAAATGGTATAATTACACTGTTGTGCCTAGCAAACCTTACTTTAATGTAGAATAACTGCTGTGTACACGCGTTTCATTTTTTGTCTGATGAATATCAAACCCATATAAGACTTAAAGGTTTTCATGGTGAAAGAAACTAGATCTATAGTAAAGATTGCGGTAACACCATGTATTTATAAATACATGGTAAAGATTGCGGTAACACCATGTATTTATAAATACATGGTGTTACCGCAATCTTTACTATAGATCTAATATCAAACCCCATACCTTTAATCTCGGCAAAATTATTATCTCAGGAAGTCGACTAATTTAAGTGTGTACTAGCATAATGTTGTCAAATTAAATTATCCTTTTTAATTTGTTTGGTTGTTCATGGACAAGAAAAGCTGCAGAGACGATATGTCAAACAAGTGATCCAACCCTGATCCGACTACCCACCGCTACTTCTAAGTCAGGCCTGTGCAGCAAAATAGCCTGCAAGAATTGAGATGCTAATATATTATCGTATGATGCAATACAGTGGCAGGCTTATAAGTGAGGCTAGTAAGCGTCAAGAAAATTTGCAAGCAGAAGGCTCGAACAAGCCTCACTTATAAGTGTGCCTTCTGTATTGCAAAATACGATAATATATTAGCACCACAGTTAAAGCATGGCCATTTAGCTGCACAGGCCTCACTTATAAGTAGCGGTGGGTAGTTAGATCGGGTGATCCAGAGATCGACAAGGTGTCTTTGGCATAAATAATTATAGGCTTAAGGTACCAAGATAAGCAGTTCATCCGGTACAGAGGAAGAGTTCTTATTATCACATTGTCGCAAGTTCGACTACCTCGCAAAGGTGTTGGGAAAAAGGTCATTTTTCGTCCATCTTGACTCCGACAGGGAACAGCCGGGCCCATCGGTGACCCAGGGGAGAAAGGAGAATCGGGCTTCCCGGGCCGTAAAGGAGACACAGGGAGCATTGGTGAACGGGGATTTCCTGTAAGTCCAAATACACTTGACACTTACCCTCCCGGATTAGTTCTGCACAAAACAGCAAAAATAGACCCATTACAACAGATCAATAATTGAATGTGACGTAAACAATGCAAACGTAGCGCGCGTCGGCCTACATTCTCAGAAAACAATGCAATTCAGAAACCGGGCCTAGTATCTCGGTATTTACAGAAGTATGATTTGTTTGAGTTGATTTGATGGTGGCGATGCGACCGTAGCGCGTGTAATTCATATTTGTCTGTGAACCAGCGAAGTGCGGTTCCTACCAAAGGAGCCTCCGTTACCAGGAAAATTGCTCCCTTTCTTGATGCAGTTCGGGTTTATAGTATGCACTCAAAAGGTTTGTTTCTTTGCAGTGGAAGACCGACGTGTACATAAAGGATAACATTTTCCTAATCCTGTTCTTTTTGGCCAGGGTCCAGCAGGCCCGAAGGGACAGACCGGAATTTTCGGACCCGAAGGACCGAAAGGAGAGCGTGGTCAGCCCGGCATACAAGGCATCAAAGGCCAGCGTGGACCGAAGGTAATAAGCCACTTGTGAGTTAAATTTGAATAAAATCTGGTACACCGTGTTATCTGATTGCATAGAAACGTAATAGTTTGAATTCCCCAGACTAAAGACAGTGTTGCTATACCTCGTGATTCGGGGCTATTAAGCTTTTGCATAGCGACCACCAACCCTGGAATGGACTGGTTCCTTTGTGCCGTTCTTATCCATTGAGAACAGTGTATTGTTGCAAGGCGTCTCTTATGTAACTAAGCAAAAGCTTGCCCCGAATCACGAGGTATAACAACAGTGGTTTTAGTATGAAGAATTCAAGTTGTAGTGTTCACGTGAATTTAAAGAACTCAGTGTACCAGATTTTATTCAAATTTAACTCGCAAATGGCTAATTTGGACCCACTGCCCAGAAAATGACAAATTCACTAAACGTTCGTTTGGAGAGAGGAACACATCTTCATTATGGCAAATTTCAGTAACTCAACATTTCGATTAGAACAGATTAGAACAGTATCAACTGAAGTAAAGACATGAAACAAAAGAAAAGAAGATATAAAATCTTTAGGAGTTAACTTTGTTAGGCTACCCATCCCAGTAAAACGTTTTGGAAGTGGTAAGAATTACGTTTAACGCACCGTACCAGCTTTTAGCAAATACCCCCTTTGAAATTAGCAGGATCTGAGTGTCGTTATTATTTTAGAATTTCAGAGCCATGAATCAAAATAAAAGGCTCAGATCTTTCTTTTTCAGAAATAGAAAAAATGTACTTAGGACTCATTTTGTCGGATCGAGAGACATTTGTCGAAGTACGTTAAGGCGTTGTCTTTATCTCATAGGTAAGAGTACGCAGTATCTCAACTTGCGCCATCAGGGAATGCTACACGAAAGATTGTTATCCTGTCAAGTGTTTGTTGCTTAACCTTGTGTTTTTTTCTGCTCACAGGGTAGAGATGGCGGTCCGGGGATTGTTGGCCCACCAGGGTTGAAAGGATCCATGGGCATTATGGGTTCTCGGGTAAGTCAAGTGTGACAATTATACTCCAGTGTTACACCTAAAACAATAACTTGGATTGAACAGTCTGTGAAAAGTCGACAATATGCAGTAATTAACCCTTAAGAGCGCCACCAAACGTTTGTCTCGGAGGGACCACTTTTGACCTCATTGTCGACATCTTGCAGTGAATCGCGTATGCCGTACGATACTCACATGAGATATATTGAACAAACATGCGTTGAGGGCCCATTAATACATTCGTCGTTACTCAACCCCCCCCCCCCATCCTAACGGCAAAAGACTTGGGTTTTCCAAGTGTTCTCTCGTGTGTGACTTCATGATAAATCAGGCTGTTTGATGAAGGTTAAAACCGTTTCCGTCCGCAGGTTATTTTTTAAATCAAGCATTTTACTGTTCAATCCAATGGCAGAAGAGTTCATTCAACAATGTTAAATCAACATGTTGCTCAAATGTGAATTTAACCAAAATGCTGCATTCATACCTTTCGACGTGTGGTCACCGAAAATGTAAGAGTTGACTAATCTCATTTATATATTGCCAAGGTTTAATAAGGGAATAAATATGTGCTTGGCCCGTCTTAATTAAACGTGCGTTTAAGACCGGCTCAGGAGAGGGCAATTTTATCGTTTGTTCTCCTGAGCAAGGTCTTAAACGGAAGTTTAAGACTGGCCAAGCACGTATTTATTCCCATTCATAAATACCTTTTTATTCAGAGAGTCAAAAGAAACCACATATGATGGATTTCCAACGATATTGTTTAAAACTTTTACTTTCATTTTAGCGAACATTCCCGTCCATTTTATGGTATATTCCTTTTGAAAATTGTCCAATAGAATCCCCTTAAATGAATTTGGCGCGCGCACACACAGACTAATGACCAATCAGACCCGATTAAACTGTCATGTATGCTCGTATTCATGTGCCAGCGCATGATTCACGCAGCGGGCATTATCACTTCTCAATGGGTATTATCAAAATAATGTTAATACACGGTCAAGTTGCACGTTGTTGTATCCGCCCTAAGTTGATGTGCACCCTAAGCGGCAAAAGAAAGACAGATGGTTTTAAGTTTTCCAAGCGGGTCCTTGCACGCGTTCTGCACAAATACCATACAGTAACCCTAATATAGGGACCATTGAAATCCTGCATAACCTTCTTGGGTTCAGGTTTAAGGAATACATTCGTTACGCGTACCCAGCGTGCTCGATTATAAACGCGCGCTTATGCGGTGAGTACCCAAAAACGCCCTCTTTTGTTGCGCTCGGAGAGGATAGGGAGACTGTCTGAGGTATTTATGAATAAGGAATAATACATGCTACGTGTAGTTCTCTTTGCCGCAACCATAATATTCTGAGGACTGTTTCTGTAAAACTCCGTTCTTTATCTGCTGGGTTGTAATTTTAGGGTCCAAGAGGCGATCCTGGACCGAAAGGGGAGAGGGGACCGCCGGGACCCAAAGGCACAGCTGGACGGCAGGGCGAGGAGGGGAAACCTGGACCTATTGGCCCGCCCGGACTGGTAAGTACCGTCAACCCAAGACCTTCATCTCAAGATTCAGAAGCCAAACACTTTTGGTCTGATATTCATCGAAGAGGGCAATTACCAATAACAGGATGAATAACTATGAATTTAGCCCAGCTTGACTTAGTAAACCCACTACCAGTTAGCAGTAAACCGAATACTGACAGTACAGTTTATCTAACTCCTAATGAGGTCAAAGTAAACTACCCTGGCTCCATAAAATGACCTACTTTGTTTTGATCAGAGAGCCACCAGCATTATCAATGTTAGCCTTCAAACCGAGTACTGATACCACTCATTAATGTACTCTTCAATGCTAACTGCTCCAAGTTGAATTTTTATACTTATCTTGCCTGCGAAGTGTCGACGCAGGCCAGCCTCAGAGTGCAAGATAATGCCAGAGGTGAAAGACTGTTCATCAAAAAAGGACTAAGTAATGTTTGGTTTGATTAAAGGTACAACAGACTTTTTAGGAAAGGTGTTTTTGTTTTCATGTTTGTTTCATTTCAGGATGGTCAGAAAGGATTGCGAGGAGATCCAGGAGCAAACGGCCAAGTCGGTCCGGGTGGCCCGCAAGGACCTATCGGTGCACCAGGAGTCAAGGGCGAGGCAGGCCCGCGAGGCTACCAAGGCGACAGAGGAGAACCGGGCGCACCTGTAAGTTATGTTTAAGAAATCAAATCCTTAAAGAAATCAATCCACTATCCATTCGACTATACCCACTTCTGTTTTCAGCGAGGCCTTTACGGCAAACGCAGCTTCTCCGAGCGTGTTGGTTATTTTGTATAACATCTAAATTATGTACCACCGTCAGCAGCAATATTATGAAACGTCTTCTGCAGATACAAACAATGAAAAAAAGTGTATGGAGTAAGAGAATGGGATGGTATGAAGGTCGCTTGTGCCAGGAATCAAAATGGATACTTTTAATCCCCCTCCTTTTACCTTCTCTTTCCTGTAAGGAGTTGTCCATTTAGTTCATTTCATTTCCTGCCAAATATTGTAGTTCTGAAGTTGTCTATTCCAGGGAAACACGCTCACATTGAAGCATAATCGACTTGAGCCTTGCTCATTAATATGGCACCTATATCACATAATACGATACATTCTGAATGCTGACATTTTGTTACAAAAGCCTTGTTTAATAACGGCTATTGGGCGGGGGTGTCGGAGGGGTATCCGTACTCAACATACAGATTTATTGATTTCCCCAAGTTTTTAAAACCAGTAAGACACGATCACATTCTAAATTTTCATTATTTTCAGGGTTTTACGCCATCGGATGATGACATTGCCAAAATAGTCGAGAGGGTTCTTCAAAGTAAGTCTTGTTGCCTTACAGGAATTAACTTATTGAATACGAATGAAATCTGTGAAAATTGACGTTCAGATTTCTATCAACCTTTGATAATGATGACTGTTTATACCTAAATGATTTTTGAGTATCTCAGTTTTTTTTACTGTGTTTTGATATTCAAAGCATGCCAAGAATAAAAATTCTCGAATTCGAATTTCTAAAAACTGGAATCCCAATTGGGCGTTCCTGAATCGGTGTGTCATTTTGAGTAACATTTAGACTAACAGTTCACACTTGCACTTAATCGTTTGGTCGCTTCGCAAATAAACATACAGGTCAGATGCAGAACATCGCCTCTCGGCTGACCGGCCCTCCTGGCCCACCCGGGAAGACGCTGCGGGGAAATCCTGGTCTGCGCGGTACCCCGGGGCCCAGCGGCAACCCAGGCAACCAGGGCTCGCCAGGCGAACCTGGCCGGCCCGGAGGACCGGGACCTCGCGGTGATCCAGGACTCTCCGGCCCGCCAGGTGAAATATTCTTAATACTTAACTGCACTTTAAAAAAGAATAATGTGACCCAGTCTAATAAAATAGTCACAAGCCCCAAGAGCACCAAATCTAAAGCCTTTATTGAAATGAATTTTGTAAATCAACAGCAATTCTTAACATTAATCAGAATGTCAAACTTCAGAACAAACAGCTCAATTCGTTTTTTTCTTCTTATCTTGCATTTCAACCTGCATTTTAGTATTGTTTCTTCCTATTCGAAATTATTGTGTAGGCCTGTTCGTATTTATACCTAGGTTTTATAGTTTTATTATGAGACACTTTGAGGTATTTTACATAAACGTCTTCTTATTTTGTCATGGATATTAAAACAAAATGACTGAAAATTTGACCGAGTCATTGATCCAAACCTGTTATTTAGGGTACGAAGTCACAGTCTAGTCACAAAGAATTTTTAAATGACGAATTAAGCTCAAAAGTACCGATACTGAGTACATGTACAAATGCATATGAGCTGAGTAAGAGCTGTGGCACACTTGAATTAAAATTGTTCGCCAAGCGTAGTTACCATTGAGGTACAAAGCAAGTAAGCAAAACGATATGAGTGACATGGTAAAAAAGTATTTTCCCATTCTTCTACTTTGTTCTTTTCGTGCTCCCCTTATACTCTTGCAGGTCAACGTGGTGCGCGGGGGGATAAAGGAAGCAAGGGCTACGGTCGAAGAGGATTCCCCGGTCACATGGGCCTTCAAGGTAGGGCTATCTTTATTCATGTAATACGGCCGTTTTACAATAGTGCGCCACCAAGACTTTGCAACGCGTCGACCAATCATAGTGCGCGAAGTCTGTCGACCAAATGCGCGTTTGGAAAGTGTCGACAGATTTTGTGCGTTGTGGTTAGCCGCGTTGCAAACTCTTGGTGGCGCACTATTGTGAATCGCCCGTATTACCAGCAGTGTGAGCTTCCTGGTTTTGCTGACAAATTTGCCTAGTAACAATGTACTGATAAAAGGGATTCACCTCATGTCGTACTTATCGTAAAAATCGATCGAGGGGTATGCATTATTTATGCATATACTGGAACACTATTGAGCCATTTCATCTCTCTACGGATTTTAGAGCTCTGTGTTGCAATTTTGATAAGTCACAAACGAAGTGTCAGAAACAGTAGCTATGTGTGCCCTTATCAGAGGCAGTTGTTTATACCAGGGAATGCAAGGTGTTTAATTGTTCAGCACAGTCTAGCAGCGTAGATACTGCACACGGAATAGTGCTGATTAAAGTGACGTCTTGAATGTGGCCCATTCCCTTCCAAAGGAATCCCGGGCAATCCGGGCATCGGCAAGGACGGGAAAGACGGTCCACAGGGGCCGCGCGGCCCACAAGGGCCGGCCGGTCGGAGAGGTCCCTCGGGCCCGCAGGGTGCAGCCGGCTACTGTGAATACTGCAACTACCCCGGCGCGCAGCAGCTCGTCAACCCGTACCCGTACCAGCCGTATGTGGACCTCAACAACAAAGCTGGCTAAAATCGCTGCTGCTTGGTTCTTTTTTGATCCAAAGTTTTTGATGTTTTCTGTAAGTATTCTAGAGAAGATAATGTAGTCCGGATGTTGTCAGAAACTCCAACAACGATAGTCACCACCGCCCTCAATTCTCTTGTAAATACAATGTGAATCCTGAAAATTTAACCGGATTTCGTGATTTGGTTCTTTATAAGAATGGACTGATCTTAGGTCTTTTGGGAGTAATGTTTACCCCGTGGTATTATAAAAGTTTTTTTTATAAATAAGTAGACGTAACAACAGTCGTTCCTCTGCCTAACAGATTTAGGTGCTCATAAGGATTTTGCTCAATTCTTGCAGTTAATCGATTGCAAGCTATCATTTTGTTATTCATCAAATTCTTGTGCTTCATATGGTGCTATATACCGTGTGTTTCATAAATATTTTTGTTGTTTGTGGTAGTTGTTATTTTTCAGTTCTTAGAGTGACAGAATCCCATAGAGGCATACACTTTTCACATTTGTTCATGAGAATATAATTTTGTTTAACTAACAATTTGCACTGGAGTATCCAATCACTTTTAGCGTAGCGAATGTTAAAATTGCACTGTTACTAATTCTATTTTGTTTCTGCATTTTAGAAGTAGTGAATACTGAACAAAAGGTAAAATTCTCCTATCTGTACATTAACAAACCGCAGACTGTTATTGTTGGTTGAAAGTCGTGTATTGATTTTAGGCCTATCATTTTCGTAAATTTGCGGAGTTCACTTTGTACATTAACATTGAAGTGCTTTGCATGAAGAAATCATCCACAGTGCCTTGTATATTATGCAGCGTATTGTAGGCCTATTATTACATGTATCAGAGAATTTCAACACTCGGAAGATTCTTTTTTTCAAAATGGAACTGTCTAAATTTTGTAACCAATTTCAATGCTACAAACTATAATTGAGCAAGTGATAAGCTATTTTTTCCCTATAGTGCGCTCTGTCATGATTGTCTTCGCCAGTGACAGCCTTTCGTGTAGCGCGAATCACAGAAATTCATCGTAGGTTACCGTGTATCAGATTGACCCTTCGGGTGTCGAATTATCGGTCTAACTTTGTTAGAGAATTTTGGTTGTCCCTACATCCGGGAAATGCGTATGCAGGTTGATGTGAATTCACGGTGATAAAATTATTCAAATATAAAACAAATCGATTATTTAGTTGGTCATTTCTTCTACAAACCACAAGTGAGCAGTATAAAATTGGAAGTGACAATTAATTAGCAAGACAGACCAAGATGTTGCAACTCAAAATATTAATAGGATCAGGAAATAACTATCTTTATTAAATAAAGAGCTTGGACAGCGGCGCAATCATATATACAATTGGTTCCATCCTTCGTTATTGAACACCCATTGATCACACTGAAGTCATAAATTAAATTTACGACTTAAGTGTGTTCAACGGGTGTTAGGCTGGTTGGACGTGGCTCTTCCTAAATTTGGTTTCACTGTAAATGGCCTGAATGTGATTTTCCTACAAAACGGACAGATGTTAAACGGTGGATATGATATTGAACCTAGAATGTGATTTGGCAGGGATTGTCCAAAATCACATGCAAGCCAGAAACTACACCCAGGATTATGTTGTTTAAAGTCTAACTCACAGTGTGATTTTGTACTTTCCTGGATGTGACTTTTGGCTCAGGTGTGATCGTGGTGGTGTAGATGTGATATTGGATAATTCTTTATACCAAATCACAGCCAGGTGAGTCGCCTTTCCATTTTTGTTGGGAAGTCACATCCAGGCCATTCACAGTGTTTTTTCCCAGCAAAATGAACACTGTCACTCTCCAAATGTCATACTGGCCGCCCAAAATTTGACCGAGATATTAAAAATTTCTTTGAAACGTAACATATAATATTGTCGATCGCATTTGAACAAGCGCATTCAAGCTTGATACCTGATAATGTGTCCATGCATCTTACAGGAAACGCTACTTCTCAGCTTTTATGTAAAATATTTCTCTTAAACGTGTACAACTTTATAGCAATTTTTGTCGATCACAGTTCAACCGACGCATTCAAGCTCAGTCAGCTAATTATAGACTGTACAAGAGAATGGTTCCACGCAAATTGTGATAAGGGATTTAAGCCCGTATACTAGATCGGCTTGGACAACAGACTAGTGAGATGTCCTGAAAGAAAATTGTGTTTTCGTGTACGTTTTACGCAGACCTTGAACAGGATAACGATACCGCCGCTGGGCGGGCTCAAGGATCCATCCCAATGGTTTAAACTCTTGGGCCGTGTCCGAACGGGCTTCATGAGCTAGGTTTATTGTCTGCGCGTCTCCACGTATTTCCAATAAAGAGCTAGACCCCGCCCTCCAGAGGCAGCGCCAGATCTCAGTGGCTGTGGGTGCAGGCGGGGCAAGGCAGAATCGCATGGATGTAAATGATCCTTCACCTTACCTGGGTTATGATGCGGAATTGTAAAACGAAAAAGTTGATAGCCCTGTGGTAATATATGACAAAATTTGTGGGAGCGAACGTGGGTGCAAGCGGCTTTCCAGTGGGTGCATTTGTACCCACATGACACTACTTAGTGCCACCACTGCCTAGCTCTAGCTAGACAACAGTTTCGGATGCAGTCTTAAAGATCGGTGGATTCAACAACAAAGGCCGGGTTGTCGATGGGAAGCTTGGAGTTTGCCGATGGCGGTTGCCAAGTGCGCGTCTTTCCCGATCTTCGAACGAGAAGAATGATAATATTGATAGCAGAGCACACGAACAGCCCTGCATTAATAAGCAGGCTCAGTTTGTAGCCTCCCATCAAGTCGTAAAGGCCACCTGTAAGATTTGGAAAAGAAAAACGGAAGATTTAAAACGATTTATATCAAACGCTTTTTGGGGGGGAAAGTCTCAGGGCAGTATGACAAGTCTCTTATTGGGTTTTATCGACACAGTGGTCAGAAACAGAGTTGGTAAAGTAGGATGATTGAAAAAGAACTTCCGAAAAGGACATTTCACAAGAGCAGAGGTCATTGGAGCCACCTGCAGCCATCTTACCGTGCTGAATACGAAGGTAATACGAAGGCTTACTTGCTTATGGTTAACCAAATTCATTCATGGCGCCCGTAGTTATAGCAAGCAAGTCAGCCATCGCCATTGTATTCGGCACTGTAAAATGTTCGCTGGTGGCTTTAGTACGAGGGCATTCAAAACTGTCATGGAAAACGGAGGGCGCTGTTTCTAAAATGTCATTTGGGGAAGACATAGTTCAATGCTTAGGTTTTCCTATTCAAATAGAGCCTGAAAGTTGACCCCTGGTGGCGCGCCTCCGGAACCCTTGGGTTTGTAATCTTTTCGTTCAGTTACTTCTTTAAAAATCCGACTTGGAAAAGGGGCATGGAAAATATTTGCTAGTATATCAACTTATAGAAACTGAAAAATCACCTGACCTAAAAGAGAAATATCCAACCAAACACTGACCCATCACTTCCAAAAATCTAAAATACATGAAGACCAGTGCAGTGAGGCAGTCTTGTACGCAGAGGAACGTTTACGGTATGAAATATCATGACAGTCCGTCGGTAAAAGCCGACATAAAAACAGGTCAAAATATTTTATATAGCCTTATAACTTATAAGTAAAAAACTTAAAGCAAATTTCTACTTCACTTACGAAAGATTTTAATCTTTTACCTAACCTTTGCTGACAACAACTGCGTTATGTCAACTCAATGGGGTCTAGGACCCATCGACTGTAGGTAGGTAAATCTTTGCAAGGTTGTACAATCTCGTTTTCACGTAAGCAAGGGCAACGAAAACAAACGTGCATGAACATGGAGACCTAGGTACGATATAGCCGGACGAGAAATTCGAAAGGTCGTTAATAAATTCGTTTTTTTATCCATCTCCAGGTGACTTTTCCTAAACATTGCTTTTACAAGACAAAAGTAAAATTCCAACATGAGTGTTTCATTGGGAGGTTTCAGTTAAGAATTATTCTTCCAAAAATTATCGAACGTAATAGGACGGCCCAATGTAAAATCTGCCGAGGAGGACCGCGCGAGGGTTCCGGAAGCTCGCTGCGTGGCCTTTTACTTTCAGGCTCTATTGTGAACCTAGAATTTACTCCCCTGGTCTCCTACCTGCGAACGGAGCACCAACTGTAGAACCCAAACCGATGGGTACCAGTACCAAGACTGTGACGATGTCTGCCCCAAAGTCTCCGAAAACCTCCATCGCAGCGGAGCAAGGGACCACGAATGCAACGCCGCGAATGGGGCCGAATACTGATAACAAATTCAAGACGGAAAAAAAGAGAAAGTTTAGTGTGGAACCAAAGCTGCGAATTCGCCAACCAAAAGGACCGTTGTGTCTGCCGCTACCAAGCGTTTCAAAGTTTCCCATTCAAGACGGCCGACTCGTGAATATTGCGGAATCCCTTCCTACAACAAAACAGAAAAATTACTTCTGAACTTTTCGACACTCGTATAGGTAGGCCTAGATGACGATGACACCATGTTGAATGTATGCAGGACTTATTTTATCGAAGGAGGGTAGGTTTTTGATTTTTCTTAAACGAAAATTTCATTACAAATGTGCACATGAAATAAACATGGCCCTATCAAAGCTGGTTTTATTATTGGAGGTAAAAATGAGGTGGCAGAATTGCAGAGGAGACTGCAACTATGCACCCCCCTCTCTAGCGCCTCCTGGGATAAATATATTTGCACTCGGACGGGTCGGCTAAAGAGTCAAGCTAATGGGGGGATGATGCGAACGTGTACCCTGGACTCACAAAAGTAAATTGTGTACATGAGAGGGACGGTCTGTACAGTTGTCAACAAGCCAGTAACAGCAGCTGACAGAATGTAAGTCACTGGCAATGTAAACATTCTGGAACACGGAAGGTGATCACCGAAGACGGAGAAGAGAATCTTGCCCAGGCACTCGCCAACTCCCCCCAACACCAGAGTGGAGGTGATCTGGTCGGTTGTGAAGTGTAAGTCGTACTCCAGAAAGCTGCCCTATGGAATTGAAGCGAAAGAGAAAAGAGAGGCCAGAGCCGCCGTGTTAGCAGGGCGCGTTTTTGAAGTTATCAGTTGTCAGTGTACGTGTTTATGGTCCTATCCTGTCTAATCCTTCGGATCAGCTGTTGTCTGGTCTGTTTAATCAACGAAATTACTCTAGCAAACGCAGTAATGTTTGGGTGAACAGGCAGGTATAACCGACCGTCATGACAGTCCCCCCACGATGCCCCATTACTTGCAAAATGGCAGAGTATTTGGCACGGCCTAAATTTGAGCTCTGTAAATATCACCAGCCTGCAGTCGTCATACTTGAGGAAGGTAATTTACCTAAATTTAAGAAGGATTAGCCCTTAGGCCGAACGGAATCTTGTACGAAAAGTATGTGCGGCCTGACACTGCAAGCACCTTTCATACTCCCCCTTTTTTCCGTATATGTCTGCAGAGTCAGTTCAATTTAAGATCATACACTTACTTAGGGGGAAAAATCTGTTACTTATTCTCACGAAATTTATGACGAAGAATGCCCAGCAGAGGTTGCTGAGCAGGTAAGCCAGGACCAACAGCCAGACGTCTAGTTGGCACAAAGCCAGCTTAAGCCTGTTGAACTGACTCTCCTCGATCTCCCCACAACCGCCCTCGGCACTCTCAGCTGCCGACCGTGCGCCTTCGTCCGGGGAGGGACCTCCCTCTTCCACGGTGCCGGCGTTCTCGTCCGTCGCCGGATTCTCCCCCTTCGGAGGAGGGACTATGAAAACGCCGAGGCTTACGCTGAGGGTGAAGCACCCACCGGCCGTTATGAGCAGCGCATTACGCCAACCGTAGGCCGCGATCAGTACATTTAGTAGAGGCGCAAATACCAACACACCTGCAACAAAAAAGGGAGAGACAATGTCCAGTATGCCCCAAAACGGTGCAAGTAAATATTGTGCATTTAAAGATAAAATGTCAACTAGAGATGTGTAACTAAAACAGTCGAAAAGATACTTTTGATCCAAGATTTCCGCGACGCTGTACAATTTTTGCTTTGGACTCCATCTTTTATCATCTTGTCGCTCCAGCGAAATTTGCTGGTACAAATAAGCAGTCAAATTCTGTAAAAGTTCCAGCCAACGTATTCATTCGATTTGAAGCGTCCATGGAATCACTTACAAAGAGAGGTCCCAAGAAGTGCCACTGAAGTGGCTCGGGAACAATTTTTGTACGGGAACCAATCAAGGACGAGCTCCACCCCTGACTGATAGACGAAGTTGCTGCCCACACCCACGAGAACGCCAAACGTAACGAACGCGAAGGCCAGATCGGGCACGAAGGATGTGGCCGCGAGGCCGCAAGTGAATATCACCGTGCCTGCAAGCGTCACCACCCTGGGGCCGTAGAGCCGAATGAGCGGTGGCGAGAGAGGGTTGCAGAACATTAAAGCAAGGGCAAGTGATCCCACCCATCCTGAAAAAACAAACAAACAAAAAACGAATAAACCCAAAGGTTATCACTTATTACGCTATAATTGATAAATATTGTTTAACAGTGTTGCGGTGCCAAAAATAAAGGGATCTGACGAACTATAGCGCTTAAGCCTCGCCTGCCCATTTTTATCCTATGCTGTTGGCGAGGCCTTGTATCAGCCTTTTTAGAGTTTCCCCGAAGTTGGAATTCACAGAGCAAATATATTCTGAGATACAAATGTTGTTTTGACGGTACACTGTACACTGAGTCCCTTAATTTTTTTCACAGCCCCTGATCACAGTCGGAACTAGACTATAGGTATTTGACCTGGTTGTCTTTTCTCCCTATTTATGTCCCGCATTCTGCACACTTCAAATGAGCAATAATTTTATTCAAAGCTGCATTGCGATTGCTTTCAGTTCAGCCAGGGGAAAAGGAGTAAATACCCAGGGATCTTCCCCCCAGAATTTGTACCTCAGTTAAGGCCGGTTCATACTACGCGCGAAAAGTGAAAGCGAAAGCAAATTTGTAACGTCGGATCAAATTAACGTTACGCATTCGTAAAAATTTCGATGCGAAGTTGTTGTGACGTCAGGTTCGCTTCGCTTATGCGTTAGCCTGAAGTATGAACCGGCCTTTATACCACTGCGATTAGTGGGGGGTCGTCTAGTTTCAGAATAATAAGGTGCACGTACCCCAGTCCGAAGAAAGTCAGAAAGCCTGCTCACAATATGAGGTTCTGATTTTAACGACGTGAAACACGGAGTACGACAAAGTAACACTTACAAGATTCCTTTACAAACAGAGGTCCTATAGTTAAACCTAGGGCAAGACAGTTTCAGGTTGACAAGTTGAACAAAGCCAACTTGGTCAGTCTCAGAATAATTCAACACTGCAAATGAAACGCAATGTTATCAGTGGACCATTCCAACACTTTTCACTGGTGTTAAGTTGTTGGTGTTATTTTAAAACTGTTTTTGAACTTATAACACACTCCAGTGCATTTTGTAACACTTGTAGATGTATAAAGTAACACCAGTGGTGTTAAAATTGGTACCAAAAATTTGGAAGGGGTTATAACACTAGAGTTTTTGCCGTGTATTTTAGCTTGAATAGGACTAACCTCAATCATAAGAAAGCGATCGCTTTACGACACTTCATAGCATGGATTGACCCATATTGTGAGAACTTGAAGGGATTGTGCAATGAAAACCAGACTTGTCTGTACATACCAGTTACACCAGCTCCGGCGTCGAATTCTCTCTGAATACTGGTGAAGATCACGTTGAAATCGTAGGTCGTTCCGCATACAATGAACAACTCCACGAACACAATAAACACGATGAAATAACTTCGGTATTTCTCCATGAACGACCCCATGTTGTTCAACACCTGCTGAAGTCTTGTCTAGCCTTTGCCTCCCAGGAAAAGAATAGTCCAGATCCTAGGTAATGATATACAACGTCACGTGTAAAGATTATCATGTACTCTAGCGAAGCCAAGGACATTTTCATCATCACATTTAAGGTGCGCAGTGGCTGAACTCATGCGGGAGAACGGTGACCAGAAGATTTATAGAAGAATCAAATGCCGCAAACAAATTGACCCAATTAATGTTACCATTGCCAAGGCGGTTACGTAATAATCCTTTAGGATTCGTTGTGGGCGAGAAATATACACATCACAATAAAGAGCTTGGCCGGTCTTAAGCGTTAGTTTCGGACCGGCCCCTTTGAGTCAGACGCTGAAAGAAGTTTTAAAAATGCAATTTTTTCCAACGCTTTTTTTGCAAAAATTTGAATTCATTTAAAAAAAGGCTTGTTGTTGACTACATAAAACTTTGTTGTCAGCAAGCCAGTTAGATTAAACCCATAAGAGATTCAAATGCCGCAAATAAATTAATCCAATGAATATCACCGCTGCCAAGGCGGTTACCCAATTATCCATCAGGGTAAGGTATTAACCTTTTGGCACTCTCTGTCTCATTTTGGAACGTTCCCTTCTGGAATGTTCCATTTTGGAGTCATCCTTTTTTCTTTTATTCATGGGAGTAGTCCAGGGTGTGCCGTACTTCTCCCCTTCTCAGCCAGGATATAGGATGGAACTTTCCTACGACTACTGTACGGTTCTGGGGTTGACAACGAGATATAATGATCCCGATGTTCGTGTCAGCCCGCTGAAGTCTCAGCTATCGCATGGCCAAGTGCGTGCCGGAATAAGCGTGTATTGATTTTAACACTCACCACAACACGACACGGCCCGGCAAGGCATCTCGGCGCCCGTAGGCCTACTTCTTTCACAAAACGGGATAAAAAGCATGAACCATTTCGGCACGTTATTTGCAAGACCATGAAAAAGACCACGAGATTTAGGAAGTGAACACGTGACGAAGCACATAAACCAATGATAGCGCATGCAGTTGGACAATGTCATGCATTGCCTTTCTCCGAGTATGAGTAAGACTACAAATATTAAGGCATGTGTTTAGTATGCAAAATGGTGGTCCCCTGCCTCGAGACTGTAACATTGAGGTTCCTGTCTTAGATGACTCCACGCCTTTTTTAATAGAAATATATGCAGATACTATCAGCATAATAAAAACATGGTTCCCTAATAACCCTTCAATAACACAACAATCATTACAAATCAGGTAAAATTGGACACAATGGAGCAAAAGTTCTGATATTGCGAGGCCCTTTAAATTATACGTGTATCGCGTATGATTATTCCGCAAAACTATAAAATTGTTTTGATACACTTAATAAAAGCCAGGCCAGTAAATCTCACTAAAATAACAGCTGCGCGGTAACCATGGAAATAGATCGTATTTAAGCTCTGGCTGGATGTTGTTGGCACGGCGTGCCTCGTGTTGTGACATCTGTTAAATCCAAAAGTTCTCGCAGATCGCAGATTTTATTAACTCTCCAATATTTGTAGCAACGTTTTTAAACAGATTTGCAAAAAAAACCATAAACAACTGATAACTGGTTAGACTGGGTCCACTAATCGCTGGGTTGAACACACATCTACCCATTATTGGTTATCTAAATTATTTTTTTATTTTCAGGTTGAAGTTGAAAAACACGTATAGAAATGCCGGTTTAATGTCGCGGTTTATTCCTGCATTATTTTTCATGGTATGTTTTGGATCAAGTCTGTGTTCCATTTACCTTTAGGTGGTCTGTGCGACTCGAAAGGAGACTATACACTGAGCTCACTACTGCTGAGCGGCTGTAAGTATGCTGGCAATACAATTAAGACGGTTTTGATCAGAGACATGCAGCAACAGTGTTTGTCGATCATCAGGAACGGAGAAAATTTGCCTCATTATTCTTCGACTCGACTTCGACGAGGGGACTTAATAGGCTCGACTCCCATGCAACCCTCATGTTAAATTCCAGGGTAAATTGTCGCTTAAACGTTTGACTTCTGTCGACAAAGTGATTCGCCCTTGGGACATTCAAGACGCTTAGTTCGACAGAATAAAATGTCTGCCTGTAGTGTACCAAAAGTAGCAGCTCACCAAAATAAATTCCAAGCTTGTATCTATGACTTGGACAGTCAGTTGCACGAAATGTAGGTAAAACATGCAATCAATGTACATGTAATCAATTTCATGTCATGGCATATTCTTGCGAGCACCCTTTCCAATCTCCTCGGACTGGCGTATGCGTGGCGTGTATAGTTTCACGTGACGCACAGTCAGCTGTATGGACATTGCCTGTTTTGAATTGTCTGTTTAAGACCGGCCGGAATGGAAACTGTCTTGGGTATATTTCTGAATAATGTGATCATTCTTACCCCCTGTTATTCCACTGAGTCCTGCATTCTTCGTTATATCACCCTGGTCCCTTGTTGGCCATTTCTTGCCCTACGTTCATTCTGAGCCCAACTTGAAGGGGCTGCGGGCGAGCACCCCTGTTGTTTTCTTTGAGAAGGGTAGGGCCTAATACCATGTCTTTCTTCATATCTCCCTCTGCTCTTGACTTGTTATTTGATATCTTTCAACTGAAATATTTTCACCTAGATATGAAAAATCTGCCCCTCTCACGTTCTTCAGGTTCGCGTTACATGCACTGAATCAGCGAAGATTCAGCTCCACCCGACCATAGAGACCCGACGGAGTATGGCCGATGGTCGGCCGGCACGGAAGTTGTAAAAATGTGAATTGTACAATTTTATCTGGAGCGCTTTATTGACTCCCTACCTGTAAAATGGTAGATCCATAGAGCAAGGGTTATCGACCACCGTTTGTGTTACTCCAGCTGACCTATATGATATCAAATAGGTGGTACGGTGAGCCTGGAAGGATTTATTGTGAACAATGTAATTAAACACCATCAATGCTTGTCCAGTAAATTAACATCAGGTATGCGAAGTCATTGGCACGATCGAGATAACCCATGTATCGAGGAGGTTGCATACTTGGATGTTAGAGACCAGTAAATAAGCTGCCATAGATGAAAACTGATATATAACAGCATTTCGATAAATCAGGAAGATTACTCTGAAGTTTGTCAGGTGTTCAAGCCACACATCAAATTAAAGCACCTTTCCTCATCTTTCATTTTCCTTCAATTTCAAAGTGGCTTAAACGATGACTTTTGAGGATATATCCACCGGGTGATGTTCACCCCTAAAAACAATCGTGAAGCCCTTCGCCATTTTGAAAATCATTGCCTACACTCCAATGCAAAATACAGCAGCTGGGGTCGCGTTCTGTCCGATAATTTTTTTAGAAACTAGCAGTTCCACTAGTAGCTTTGATCCTTTTGTTTTAATTTAACAGCAGGCAAATTCGTGATTTGGTCCGCACAGGCATGAACCATCTGGTATCTCTTCGTACAGTCACTCAGGCGACCCTACCATGCAGCTTGATTTCACACTTCAGTTTGACGTGGAAAACGACAACCTCAACCGTGTGCTCTGTTGGAATATTTTAACTCAAAGAAGGTTGTGCTCTTAGACTAAGCACATGGATCTGAACAAAGTAGCTCCTTGATTTACGCAGAATCAAGGATGGATTATGGTGGGCGTCGCATTCGTGGAAATATGTCTCGTTTGCGTGCTAACTTATAACTTCAGCATAATCTTCTTGAGTCTTCAGGATGAGTTCAACGCAAGGGACTACTTGGACAGGTGATTATTTGCTTCTGGATGGGTGTTTTAGAGGCTACTAGTTGGAAATGTAATGAGGAAATTGGATGGTGGATCCTTGGGGATAATTTATTTTTGAATGCGCCCTGATGAGCCCTGTTTGGACTTTCCTTCTCAAAATACTTCTTGCCCTGCAAAAGTTATCAGGATTTTCGAACCTTAACATCATTATCTAGTATATATAGGCGGCATGGGTACGGCGACCTCACACTTTGTTTACATTTATTCTTTTCATAACAAGAAAAAGAGGAAGTTCGACGCGGTTTGGTAGAAAAGCGCAAGGTACAAGTGACATTAATAGTACCCAAGCCTGTAGGTTTTGTATGCTATTCGGGCCTTCTATAACATGTCACTAGGACCAGCTGGCTGAATCCAGGACACATTGCCTAACAAATACCGAAACCTTGCTAAATATGGACTGTAAAACATTCCAAACACAAAGAATACAAGGCTTGGGACTTCCTCTTCAAAACAATACAGCCAATAAAATCCGGAACAACCTGTCCTTGTCGGGAATGTAAAACAAAGAACACAAACATGTGAGGTCTGGAAATTTTCCTGTGTACATGTATGCCGTATCTCAGAATTGTGCGCTATCATTGAGTGCTGGTAATACCGGTGTTCCATGTATGAGAGTGGATTGGAGTTTAAACGAGTCTGCGTAGAATAAATGCCTTTTGTAGGAGAGCGTTTAGCTTCTTCTACAATAACACCCATCTTTTCAGGCTGGGTGGGGTCACTCGCCAACTCTTTGATGGGAGCGGCTGAGCTGATCTCCACGCTGTTGATCCAGCGCTACGGCCCCAGACCCATCACGCTGGTCGGTCTGGTGGTGTTTGGTAGCGGACTCATCGCGACGTCGTTGGTGCCCGCTCTGGCCTGCGCTTTAGTGACCTTCGGTGGTGTTGTTTGGCTGGGCGCGAACTTCGTCATGCAGTCTGTAGTCCACCTGCTGTTTAGTTGGTTCCCGGAGGAAACCTGCTCACGCGCGTTCTCCCTGGTTATGCTGGGAACATCATTTAGTGAGTAGTTTTTTTTTAATTGTAAAGGCCAGGTGAAAAGGTCAGTAAAGCCGATTCGCTGATGAAAAAAAAATGCCGCTATATTCTCTTGAGTTGAAATGCATTCAACTCCTGTGACTTCGCAGCACAAATTAATACATGTGTAGGCCTATTTGTTTTGAGTTTGCGTTCGCTTTTGCCCCAGGCATTGGCCGACCTACATAACATTTTCCAGCGCTTTACAATTTTAAGAAATTCTAATTGTAATTCAAGTTCTTTTTGCAATGGGATGCAGGTGAGCTGGCGTTTGCACCTCTCCTGACTACACTCATAAGGGTGTTTGCTTGGCGCAACGCCCTGAGGATTATCGGCGGAGGAAGTATCATGCTGGGTTTCGTCTTTGCTGTGCCCATCAAGTCTGGCAACGACTACCAACCACGAGCCGGGAACTCGGGCTAAGGAATCGCGCGACGAGCCCTGTACTGATACGCCGACTGACACGGTGAGAAAAGGTACATCAGACCACGGTCAACCAAGTATTCTAGAGTTCGTTGGGAAGATAGATACCTGGTTGTGGAGTCTTTGTTTGGTTCTCGTCTATTTGGGGTGCTAACGATGCTACACTTCGCAATACAAGCCAACCTAAAAAAAAAAAACTTAATTTCTTCTAAACACAATTTCATCGGACGAAGGATGGAGTAATATTTACAATTTTTTTCGAATCAAAGAAAATGACCTCAACAGTTTTGCCTTGCAACCTCTGTCCACCCTGAGCAAGAGCACCCCCTCATCGGTTGAAAAAAGTCATGTTGGTCGGGAATGCTCATTTTGTTGGTAGCGATGCAAGAGCAACGCTTGCGTTTCATAGTCGTTCGTGAACCAGCGATGCGCTGTTGCTCCGTTGCTAGGAAAATTGCGCCCTCTCTTGGTCCAGCTTGGTGCCCATGAGTAACTTGCTCCCTCATTTCTTCCTTTAAGGTCAGCTTCTTGGAACATGATCTCCAATTCACAACAGACCAGATCACCATTGCTATTATGTTACTTGCAGTCGGTGGTATTGTAGGCAAGATACTTCTGCCCATATTCGCCGATCGTCTGCCTTGTCTGAAGCTGTATGTCGTGGCGGCTGCGTCCCTTCTCGGCGCCGTAGTAGCCGGCCTGATGACCAAGCTTCGGTCGGTGCCTCTCGTTTACACCGTATCACACCGTAAGTACTACTACGCCTCGAGGACCAGTGCAGAATAAATTCTGTTGTAGGAACGATTCTTGAGTGCAAATTTCTTTCGACCAATCACTCAGTGCACCTGACTACTGCATTTCTGGAAGCTAAGCATGGATGCTGACGTCATTGGTTTAGACCGCCCCGATCAAGATTTTCCACAGTCTGAATGGCTAAATGAGATTGCTTCAACTTCAATATGAATATTCAAAACAGTACCCGTCAAATGTTATACAGGGCATGCTTTGCTTGGAACCAACTGTTAAAGCTCCTTTGTTAAATATTCTTCCTCCTTTTGGTTCCTCTTGTAGTTATGGGATCGTGCTCTTCCCGGCTCGATACTGAACCTTGCATCATTTTTTTTTTCAAATCGTCTCTTCATCAGGTCACTAAAAGTAATTCAATCTTCGTCCAATCCACAATCCTGAAAAACTCTTGACGCACCTGTTGTAAACCAATATGGGCGATTCACAATAGTGCGCCACCAAGAGTTTGCAACGCGTTGGCCAATAACAACGCACAAAATCCGTCGACCCCTTTCCAAACGCTTATTGGGTCGACATATTTTGAGCATTGTGATGGTGACAAACTCCACCCCAGGTGGAACCATGAGAGGGCGCAATTTTCCTGGCAACCGAGGTTCCTTTGATGGGAACTGCACTTCGCTAGAAACGACTAAATACTGCACGCGTTACAGTTGCATCGCTTCCAACAAAATAATACTTCCCACTATCATGGCTCGTTTCATCAAATGAAGAGCTGCTTCTGCTCATCAAGGCGGGCAAACAGAGTGATTCCGGGGGAAAGGGATGCGGTTTCCGTCCAAATGGTCAGTTGAGAAGGGATTGTTGTTTAAATTAGGCTTGTAGGGCATTTTATGACAGGAATTTAGAAATAAAGGTATAGGTGTTTCTAAATTTGCTGACCTAAGGTCTTTGGATCGTGTCGTATGGTAGTAATGGTACACATTCCGTGTGTCTGTACTTTCCATCAAGATGAAAATCAGATGATGCATGCCCTTGACATCCTTCATTTTCATGTTTCCTAAAGCCTACTCGCTGAAAATGTACATGTTATCCTAACACTACAGGCCCTGCCCTCAGGTTGATGAATTATGTTAAAAGTTGTGGATATCAACGAACAGGTCACCATCGGAAACGTTGACAGCTGGAATAAATGCATTCTGTTGTGGATTTTCAGAAAAGCCCCTTCGACTGAAGCGACGCGAGTTCTTTGCCGACCAGCAGGGGGAATTTTGAAGACAATGAGTCGTCTGAAGTTAGAGTTGACGCCTGGGGAGGTAATCGTTGTCGTTGACTTCTCCGAAAATTATGCATTTGTTGTTCAAGATTCGTCGCAGCATTTTCGCTAGACATATGACGACATATGACATATGATTGCATCCATCTGTAACCTTCTGCAAAGGAGACACTGGTACGTCTCCAATTCAACGCAGTTGTAATCTCTAAGCACCTCACCCTTGACGCTATTTCGTAGACGGACTTTCTGCGCAATGCAATAACAGGAAAAATTCAGCAAACTTGATCCCCAAAGTGGGTTTTAACCAGGTGGTGGGTGATATTTCATTTTCGACCCAGCCCATGGAAAAGGACTGAATGGGACTGTAGAGGCCTAAAGTGTTTGGCTACAAAAGCCATTTTCCAGAGCTAGGTCCTACAAAGACCAAATACCAAAGTACATCAGCGCTATTAGTTTGTGGGGAAAGACGAATGCTCCAGGAATGCGTTTTATGTAGACATGAATTGAAGTGAAACAGTGCGCAAAATTCCCTGTCACTCAATAGCATCACGCCGTCTATCGACGCCCACAGTTCGGCAATCATGTGTGGAAGGCATTCCAACGGAACGAAATTCCACAACGGGCCTTAAGGATCATAAAGGAAAAGAAAAGTCGTTTGTTGACGTGGATGTGGTGCCCTTTACGTTGGTAAATACGTAACAAAAGCTTTTCAGTACAGTGGAGGGTCAGACATTCAGGCAGCTGGTAGAGAACGTTTGCTTGGACAAACAATACCGAGGATGTGTGAGAGCTGGAAAGGAAAAGTTAAATGCAAGATGAGGAAAAAACAGTGTCATTAAACGGCAAAGTATGGAGCCAGGAGTTGAAGAGCGCCAACGATCTTTCAGGCAAGGTGCTCTTCAAGTCGGACCGTACCGTGTACCGTGCAAAAGAAGGGTCCAAGCCCCTAAGTTTAAGGTAAGTAATACATTTTCCGTTCAATCTGCAAGGATACTTCGCTTGTGACAGTAGGTAACTTCTATAATTGATATTGTGTACAGAACAATCTGCTGTTTGCATTGAAATGAGTAAATGTTGCATGCTGTAATTTGTAAGACCGATTTGGAAGTTGAACCGACCAACACAGATACAGCATAATCTGACTTTAGGTTCTACCATGAATGGGAAAGGAGACTGGTAAAAAAACCTGCGCACCCAAAATGAATGGAAATTTCCCCCCGACATTGTAATGAATGGTGTACTATTAATCTCTTAAAATGGTGTACGAAAACCAATCAGTTGTCAAGTGAAACTTAAGCGTGTTCTTTTTCTCTAATTTTAAAATTATATATTACAATATGCTCAGGTTGGGATGTAAACCGATCATGCTCCAGTACCTGCATGGGTAATATTAAAAACATTCCTTAGATCAACAATCCCACAGCAGTGTGGGCTCCGATCTGGAGCAAGAAGGGGCGAAATTTTTCTAGCAACGGAGGCTTCTTTGGTAGTAACTACGCATCGCTGGTTCACGATCGACTATGAAACGCAAGCCTTACAGTCGCATCGCTGCCAACGAAATGAACACTTCCAACCCACATTGCTCTTTCCGATGAGCCTGAGGGGGTGCTTCTGCTTGGGGCGGTATCGAGTCACTCTCGATGATCTCCTGCAGAAATTTTCTCTGTTTTCAACAATAAACAGTGCAGGCACGGCCCCTGTCCTATATGAAAGCAGTTCTGACCGAAAGAGTCTCTGTCAAGTTGAACAGAGCCTGAGCGTGACGAGCGTCGAAATATTGAATTAAAAACATACACATTCATGAAATGGCTCAGATATAAACTTTGGTCGTTTCGCGAACTTCGTTGTTGTACAATGAATGTTCCATAGACTGGGCGTTCAGAGCAGCATTTAGTTAACAATGAGCTATTTCGGTATTTCAACAAGCCCAGGTTTTTTGGGGGAACAAAGCACGTGTGTTGGTCAGCGTAAGGCTGCGCTGACAGGACAGACGCGTAGCTGTTCCCAAATGACCTCATCAGTTTCGGGCATGCGTTGTTGGAATACCAAACTGGCTCATTGTTGGCTCGAACATTTTATCAGATAATTTTTTCTGAACTGTTGCATCATTATAAATACTGTACAATGCATTATAGTGCCTTGCGGAATTCGTGTCTTATTTTATTTTATTTCAGATGGACGACCAGAGGCACCCACAACATATGACATTAAAAACATACGTATTCATATGCAGTGGCACACATTTGAACAGTTGTCAAGTATGAGATAAAAGGACTCTCCAACAGTGTATCACAAGAAAAGTCCAGAAACTTGAAATTACATGTTAACGAAAGATACATATTCAATATGAATGCAAAGAAAGACTAGAGTAACAAGAACATTCGCCATGGAGAATAAAATTGACAACTTGACGTACAAAAAGATAAACATCTGTGACCGGTCGACTATTCTATAGTCACTAGTCCCTCCACTTCTGCAACATATTTCTTATTGCAGCCTCGTGTTGTAGAGCGCCCTCTCTTGTAAACCTTCACTTTATACTTGATAAAAGTAGATGGCAACTACATTGTATAGCGCCCTCTGTGAGTGCATTTCTGCACTGACTGGAGCCATGCATGCCAAGCATTTCTAACAAGTGACTTGTGAACGACTGTTTCTACCCTGCATTCGTTCACAACTACCGGGATGAAAAGTTGTTGGTTCACCCGAACCCTGTGGAGTAGGGGGTTGAGCAGAAACATTCTGATCAAATCACTCTGCCTCCGAACCTCCTTGCTGAGCACCAAGCTATTTTGTTGCTCCGCCTACACATGTATGTGTATGATCGTGCAATCACTGCCTTCCTGCGTACTGCGTTCGTGATTGGCAGAGGTCGAGGGACGCTGCGTGGTAAGTTCCATTTACAAAATTCTTAGATGACAGATGACCCAGTATCGACGTTTTGCATATTGTATGTTTTCTTGGAATGTTATTCAGCTGATAAATATACTGAAAAAGTTATTGATATCTTCCCAACTTGTTATTGTAAATAAGAGATTAAAGATGACAAACCCTGAAGTTAAATTAAGTGTACTTGGATCAATAGAAAGTGGAAAGTTAAATTAAGTGTTCGTGGATCCATAGAAAGTGCACAGTAGAGGGTTCCTTATGAGTAACAAATAATAAACATTGTCAGCTCTACATACGCTTACTACTTATCTTTACATATCTTCATAAATATTTTCTTGTATTTTTCAGCCATCCTCTGGATCCGTCACACTACATATTACCAGCTGTAGGCTGTTGGTAGGTTTGATGTATTACACACCGTGTGTACCATTTTTGTTAAAATCTGAGAACAAGAATTACGATAGGGAAAGTGCAACTTGTGGGTTAATCTTAACTTTCACCGATTGGACGCATATTTGGTGAGATCCGTTATACTGTACATTGCTTCGAAAGTGTTAAAATTACAACGAAGTCGCGAAATTGCCTAATCCTACCAACATTCTGATTATTTATATCAATACGTGGCATAAGCAACCTGTTGGTATCTTGGAGGATACTTGAAAAAATTGTTGTAAAATGGACTTATCTAAAGTATAATTTCTTTTCTTGTGTGCATTTATTACAGGTCAATATATCATTGACCGTCGTTTTTTAATTATGTAAGTCACACAAGCCACTCAGCTTTGTAAAAATTTGTAAATACAAAAATTATCAGCCAATAAAGTATTCTTTGGTGCCACCACATCCCCTGATGCCTTATTTCTTGTACTGGGCTCTAACCCTGCTCAAGTACAAGTGGAGTAGTCGATTTATATCTAACATTTCCTCTTATCAGACCACTCGGTTACACAGTAGACAACACTTAAAATGAAATCAAATATAAAGGGAAATAATTACATTTAAAGCGTTAAAAAAGTAACGACGCCAAATTGAAAGCTTTACTTATCCCCGTCTCCTAACGGTGAGCTGGGGTACACAGCTGCTATTTCAGGATGCTGACGTCAAATTTCGCCAAGCCCATGATTCGACAGTATTTGTGTTCACGATGAGGCACATAGATACTGGCGCAAGCGCACTACCTGATATCTACTGCTTCGCGTGTCTGAACCCCTTGTCGACGTACATGTATTTCCTTTGAATCTCCTGAAAAGGAATTAGCCAATCAACGCACCTATAAAGCAGTAGAATGAATGACCATCTAGCATCTCTATAAGAATATTTTTTTTCCACGGCCGATCCAAGTCTTTTATGTTATAATTAAACTCTCATGCCTGAGACGGAGTATACATGTGGAATTTCCCGAGATGACTTTGTCGCTTTCGGTCGGAAGGAAAAACTATAGCTAGATAACTGAGTCCTTTTCTTGATGGGAATCGCTAATGCGACGGCTGAAGAACACACAAATATTGCAACGATGACAAACAGGCTGAGGTTGTAGTCTCCAGTCAAGTCGTAGAAACTGCCTGCAGATGGAAAAATATGTAGCCTTCAAAATGCACTGAACACTAAATATCTAGACTTATTCGGTTGCAGGACTGATTGTTACATAACAAGGGAATAAATATGTGCTTAAATTAACGTTTAAGACCGGCCAAGCACATGATTATTTATTCCCATTCATAAACACTCTTGTAGTCAGAGAGTCGAAAGTCAGTATATGATGGATTTCCAAGGATTTCGTTTTTTAATTTTACTTTCATTTTCCCAAAAACCCCCGTCCATTTCACGGTACATTCCTTGTGCAAATTGTCCATGGACAATGGAATAAAATATGGACTTGGCGCGCGCGTGGCGAGCTACGTGCACACAGACTCTTGACAGGTCAGAATCAATTAAACTGTCTCGTTCCCAGGTATTAATACACGCTCAAGTTGCAAGTTGTTGAATAGGGAGACTGTCTTAGGTATTTATGAATATAAATAAGACTAAGGTAGACTTTCTTTGTAGTGGGGATTGACAGGGTCATGGATTTAGGCGACTTCATTATTAGTTGCAGAATGTACTGGCATTGAAGTTGGATTTTAATAATAGTCTAGATGTTATTTAATTACATGAATAGATGAAATCACCTGAAATCGGAGCGCCAATGAGGATTCCTATACCGTAGGGTACCATCGATAAAACACTGACGATACATGAGCCATACTCCCCAAAAATTTCCATTGTCGCCGGAAACGGCATAGCGTTCGACGCTGAGCGAACTGATCCCACAACTACAAGAACAACCATCAAAGAAGCAGTTAAAAACCCATACATATTCACGCTTGATGTCCGGCTATTAAAAAACTGTTGTGACAAACTCAACTATTTAATTTCTGACGATGTACAGACCGCTCCCAATAGTCACTGTATTCACATTCAATTTCAAATCACTGTCACATCATTCACATTCACTTTAACATCCACAATCACATGCACTTTCACATTCACTACCACTTTCACATTTACATTCACAATCACTTTTACTTTTACTTTCACATTCACAATCACTTTTACTTTTAATTTCACTTTCACAATCACATTCACTTTCACCTTCACATTCACTTTCACAATCACTTTCACTTTTACTTTCACAATCACTTTCACTTTTGCTTTTACTTTCACTTTCACTTTTACTTTCACAATCACAATCACATTCACAATCACTTTTACTTTCACTTTTACTTTCACTTTCACATTCACATTCACATTCACATTCACATTCACAATCACTTTCACTTTTACTTTTACTTTCACTTTCACTTTCACTTTCACTTTCACTTTCACTTTCGCTTTCAGACTCACATTCACTTTCACATTCACTTTCACATTCACATTCACTTTCACATTCACTTTCACATTCACATTCGCTTTCACATTCACAATCATTTTCACGTTCACAATCACTTTCACGTTCACAATCGCGTTTACTTTTACTTTCACATTAATTTCCACTTTCACATTCACTTTGACATTCTCAATCACTTTTACTTTCACTTTCACATCCACAATCACATTTGCATTCACTTTTGCTTTCAGACTTACATTCACTTTCACATTCACTTTCACAATCACATTCACTTTCACTCAAACATTCACTTTCATATTCACAATCACATTCACTTTCACTCAAACATTCACTTTCACATTCACATACCACAGCACAAGCAAAGCCGTTTAGACCAATAAGATGGTGGCTATATATAGAGCCATTATTCAATTATTATTCAATTGTTTAATTTCTGACAATATCGCTCCAACTAGTCACTCTATTCACATTCACATTCATTTTCACATTCACATTCACATTCACTTTCACATTCACAATCACATACCACAGCACACGCGATGCTGTTTAGACCAATAAGATGGTGGCAATGTATAGACCTACTCTATAGGGGCGGTAGGGATAATAGAGTCTGAATTTATGATCAGCATACCCAAAGGCAGCAGTCAGGAGCACTGAGTGGTTGTTCGAAAGAAATCTACACTCAAGAATCATTTCCAACATGGAACTTCAGAAAATGAACTGGTGCGAGGCTGTGAATAGCAACAGTCTGTTTTCAAGCACCGTGAATTAAAATCAACATCCCAACGGTCTTGACCAAAGGTTAGGGCCGAATTCTTGTTAAACCTTACTACACCGAGTCGAGTCCAAACACTTGACTGGTCCTCCAAGCGGATCTGTACTTACACAGTGAAACGATGTACACTAGCGAAACCGATCGAAGCCAGGTCATCAGGCCGGCTACCACAGCTCCAAGAAGGGACGCAGCCGCCACGACATAAAGCTTCAGACAAGGCAGACGATCGGCGAATAGGGAAAGAAGTATCTTGCCTACAATACCGCCGACTGCGAGCATCATAATGGCAATGGTGATCTGGTCTGTTGTGAATTGGAGATCATGTTCCATGAAGCTGGCCTACAAAGAAAGAAATAATGGCACGTTGCGATAGCGAAACTAAACTTGTAATATTATTTCACCCTACAGCTCAGTCTAATGAAGTTGGGTTGAAGTTGTGTCTTGGTTTACAAATGCATTCATAAAATAGCTGCAGTTTATCTCCGTGAGTTAATCAGCAATGTCATCTGCCAAGGACTCTTCGCTACAGCAACAAAGATCTTCTCACTCCACATTCAGTTCTTACCAAATCATATGATTAACGTGCCTTCTAACTCGCTGCACCAGAACTATGGAACAACACATCAAAATCTGCCCCTCCTTGGAACAATTAAAAAATTAACTTAAAACACACCTGCTTACTCTCTTCAGCGCATAGAGACTTCATTGTGTTATGCGCTTTATAAGAATTGCATTTTTTCTTCTTTATATTATTCACATAATACACATGACATTTCAATTACTTGGCCCGGAATGCAAAGTATAGCATCTTTACATTTTTAAGAAATGCGCTTTGCTCTGCTGGAAAGAAACTCACGTAATTCACGGTGACGAATGTCCACCCCAAATAGACGAGGACCAAGCAGAGACTCCACAGCCAGGTATCTATCTTCCAAGCGACCTCCAGCACTCTTTGTCGACTGTTTTCTGACAGACCGTCTGGAATCACCGCATCGGTTGCCATGTCAGTACAGGGCTCGTCGCGCGACTCCTTAGCCCGAGTTCCCCGCTCGTGGTTGGTAGTCGTTGCCGGACTTGTGATGGGCACAGCAAAGACGAAACCCAGTATGATACTTCCTCCGCCGATGATCCTCAGGGCGTTGCGCCAAGCAAACACCCTTATGAGTGTAGTCAGGAGAGGTGCAAACGCCAGCTCACCTGTATCCGATTGCGATAAGAACGTGAATGACGTTTATAATTCCGTGGTCTAGAAGCTGGAAAACATTGGGAAATGGTTTTAAGGTGAACTCGAAATTGTGACGTCAACTTAAATATTCATTCTGTGAACTCGCAAACGTTTAAATCATTTCAACTCTAAAATTTCGCTGCAAATCTTTCGTGGCGTCATATTCGCTTCGCTTTCGCATTCGCCTGAAGTATGAACGGCCTTTACTGTTGAGAAAAATTGCAAACAGGATACTGACAAGCTACTTCCGTCTGGTTTCAACAAATAAGTATTCTTAGGAACGAGTGAAAGAGAATAAATTCAACTCACTAAACGAGGTTCCCAACATAACCAGGGAGAAAGCACGTGAGCAGTTTTTCTCCGGGAACCAGCTAAACAGCAGGTGAACGACAGACTGCAAGACAAAGTTGGCTCCCAGTCCAACAACAACACCGAAGGTAACGTAGGCGTATGCCAGAGCGGGCACCAACGACGTCGTAACGAGTCCGCCGCCGAACGCCACCAGACCGACCAGCGTGACAAGTCTGGGGCCGTAGCGTTGGATCAACGGCATGGATATCAGCCCAGCCGCTCCCATCAAAGAGTTGGCGAGTGACCCAATCCAGCCTGAAAAGATGAGGGTGTAACAGTTTTACGTTGTAATGTCGGAAAAAAGAACGCTCTCGTACAAAAGACACTTATTCTGTGCAAAGTATATGTGTATGTGTACACTTTTCGGCACAACTAAGCCACCCTCCAGCTCAACACAAATACTTCAAACCCCAATGAAACCAGCACTTTTAACGCAAATCCTAGGAAAATTTCAAGATTCCATGTTTTGTGTTCGTCCTGACTATGAATTAAAGGCCATTCCAAATTCTTTGGCTGCTGGATTTTGAAAAAGAAAGATGAAGCCCCAATTCAGCCTAGCCCAGAAGACGTCGTCTACATTGCATTGCAGTCAAAGTGTAAATGAAGACAACATCCAACTTGGGCTATCCCACGCCTTGAATTCTTTGCTTTCTAAACTTGACTTTCGAGTTCCCTTCAGGAAAATTTTTTTGAAACTGCCAGGTAACCCCGTCTGGATTAGCCTATTGGTCCAAACGACACGTTATGGAAAGACTGCAGTGATGACTAATATACCAAAGACAGGAAACTATTCGTTAGATGAAACAGGCTTGTGCACCGATACGAGGTGAGTGAAAAGTAATTCTTCAAAGGATTCGTATCCCCCCATTTTTATTTCAACTAATAGACTTTGTACCTCTGAACACCCCTACGACGCAAATAATCACCTGTCCAAGTAGCCCCTGCGTTGAACTCATCCTGAAGACTCAAGAAGATTATGCTGAAGTTGTAAGTTGGCCCACAAATGATAAATATTTCTACAAATGCGATGCCGACCATGAGCCATCCTCGAAACTTCGACGACGAGTACAGAGCTGGTTTGCTGACTAGATCCATCTCAGCTGTACAGTCTAACAGCACAGGTCAGACATGGAGGAAGGATGGATTAAATACTCGAGCAGAACGCCGGCCCGCTTGAGGCTATCTCTTTCCACTTCGACAGCGAAAGCAAGCAAGCTTCAGGGCACTGTGGTAACAAGGATTCGCTTGGATCAGGGACTGTACATGTATATACAGCATATGAGCCGTGCAACTTGGGTGTGGGAGCTGTCCAATCCACCGAGTATCAAGTTGATCATTGATAGACCAGAGATGAATGAATCACTTTGCGGCCCTGTAACACCCCCGTGTCACGCGGCTCCTCTCTGGGCTGCTAGGCAGAGAAAGTTGCATCCTGCGTCATCATCCCTTTCATCATCTCACTAAAGGTCAGTCACTGGGAAAATATGAGCTGAAAAGACATAAATCTAGGATCGATAAAAATTAATACTTCGTTAGGTATCGCGACTCCCCGTCCACTCTTTGCACAATCGCTAAAGTGGAGTCAGTAAGATGCAACACACTGTCCAGTATACGGGCTCCCATTATGACTGCAACAGAGGTGAAGTGTTGTTTCCATACTGAAAGGCGCTTAGATGTGCATCGATCCGACAAGAGCCATAATATAAGCCCATGGTAAATCTGAGGTCACTTGACAGAAATCTCTGTCGACCACCAACAAACACTACCTGACCTGTAAAGTTACGTTAAAATGGGACTAATTTCTATTCTAAACTGAGGGCCGTCGGATATGGCTCCTGGTGTTGACAAGTCACATTCACTGCATGGTGCATGCATCATTTATATTGTTCACGGCTCAGGACCTTTATTCGGTAAATGGGTCAATAGCGATAACAACTACATGGAGAGAACCACATCATGTCACGTCCTCACAAGACCTTCAGTCGCGCACGTGAAAGCAAATCACGTGTCGTTGACGACTCCTTCGAGGCCAACATCACTCAGTCGATATGTGGGTAACCGATCCGGTGACTGATCTCTACCATTTACAAACAAGAGAGCTGAGCGAACCAAATGGAAACGAAACCTTAATCACAGAAAAGGAGCATATTTTCACGTGTTAAGTTGACAGTTGTTCAAGAACCAGCTGAAAATAGAAGAAAACGTGAAAAAAAGACAAAGTACATGTAGTACCGTCAAATCTTATTATAACAAAGTTGCCGTGGCCATAACCAGGACTTTGTTAAAAAAAGAATGCAAAAATAGTGCAAAATAAAAATTCCAAGTTTTTTTGTTTTGCAAAGTTTACTTTTTAGAACAGCATTTTGTTATATAACTGTTGTTTATAGGGAGAATCAACTGTACTGATATCCTCATAAAAAAGAGAAAAGGAAAGCCATGGCCAGTTTATTACGGGTAGTTTCTTCCCCGAATAAGTTGCTGGAGTGAGCTGAGGGTAGTTGGGGGGCAAATTCTTCAACCTTGCAATAAATTTCTGAAGCCCATAAAATATGTACTGTTGAGTTTAGGTATCGGTACTTCCATTCTTTTCCCTCTCAAGGCTTGGTTCTAGTATGTTCAGCCGTTTTTCAACTGCCCCGGTAAAAATTGTGGCACATGCAGTGTCCTCAGTGAGACGTCAAACGGTTCACATAAAAAAGGTCCTCAGCGGACATTTGAGTCACTGCAGTGGCCATGTATATGTCGCCGAACTGAAAAAGACCCCCCTCATAATTTTGTAGTTTCGCCCGTTACCCTTTTTGTATTTAAATATCTTCTCCCGGCCATCCAGCAATCCATCGGCCAATCAGAATAGAGGCGACGTAAACGAAACCCTCGTCGATCAGCGTTATTCGAATGCTTACCGGGGACGAGGAAAGACTTGTTATTTATTTTCTCTCCATTTCCTGTTTTCCAGGTAAACTTGTTATTCTTTTATTTTCAATATCTAATAATTAATTGATTTTGTACAGTTATATCTACTTGTACATGTGTATTACCAAGGATTCAGTCCGTAAGCGTTGCTCCTTCATATTTGCTAAGTCATGAGCATCTCGGAGCATTTCCTTATTTACACCCATCTTTGAATTATTCTTAAATCTTAAGTTGTCTAGATTTAAAGTAACTACATGTACTATTGAATCATCGGTAGGGTACCGTAATTCACCCATTTGGCTTCTTTATCGTTGGTTTTGAAGTGATTTTTCTTTATTTTTGTAGAAAGAGGGGGTCCACTTAGTAGAGCGTCCACGTGCAGGAGCGTCTTTCGTGCCTAAACGCGGAAATGAAAAAAACAGGATTCTTACACTAGTGGACACGTCCTCGGCTCCGAGGAACAATTAGGCAAACTGTGTGTGTTTACACGTCATTCAACGACAAGTGGTATTGTGCTTTTGCAAACTTACGCTCCTATGATCCTAGCAGGCAACTTATACTGATGTACAGGTACGTGTACAGTGTACTGTACATGTACACATGCTGTACTTCGCATTGCGCCTGCGGTCTTTGACATAATTATTGCACGACCTTTTGATGACCGGTATTTCTTGACCAAGAATTCTTCGTAACCAAGCGACGTCAGCATAAATTATCATAAGTGTCCTCCCCCCCCCATTGTGAATCACCGCTCTACCACTGGTTCAGGCCAGGATACTTCCGCAATGAGAAATCTAGTTTACGTCCCGCCATATCAAGTACTTGCCATGTACAACAGCCGCCATCTCTTTTAGTGGTAAATATCGATCTTTCCTGTCGATTTTTTTTAGTATGATTGATAGCGATAGTTTGAATGAGTGTCGTCGTTCGGTAGCATATGACAGGCTAAGATTTCTTGCGTTACTTTCCCATGATATGCCACCTCTTAAAAATAGGCTACACGGCAGACACGAACTTCAAGCCTGCATTTGGCTAATATAATTTTCAGTTCAAGGATAGATGATGAAGATTTGTGCTCAGGTATTCAACACGGAAGGGACTCGAGGAGACAAGAATAAAAAGCAACAGAAAGCCAGCCCTGCTAACTGCATGAATCTACGGGGAGTTGAATTCAAAGTGCATTCCCAGTGAGCTGGACCAAGAGACGGCGCAGTTTTCCAAGCAAGGCAGGCTCCTTATAATAGGTGGAAACCACACTTTGCTGGTTCACGAACAATTTTGAAATGCGTGCATGCGTTACGGTCGTGACTCGTGTCGCTCTTTTCAATCGAATATGACGCTGCTTTTGTTTGAGATTATGCATGGCTGGTGCCTTGGAGGCACTTGTGTGTTATAAACAGTGAATTCACAAAAGTTTTATTTGAGCAAAACCAAGTAATACAAAGCCCTTGCTCTGCGGCTCCGCCGTAATGCATAATCTATAGTGGCCCTGGAGGGACATCGAACATCACAATTGTTTTTGCAAATATTTGCAAAAATTCGTTTGCACGTGAACACGGTATTGTAGTCCGGAACTGAGCGGATCCATGCACTTTTATACACTCGAGACATAAATTCAATCTGGTGCAAGTAAGTGGCGGGGCCGCTGACGCTTACCCTGTCATACAGAAAGTGGTTACGCTCAAGATGAACTAGGAAGATAAAAACGAGATTCTTGGTGGTTATTTTTGTCACTTCTGGCCCCATACCAAACATACCAGACTAAATTCCCGTACACGAACAAACGAACGGAGGCTAGAATCTAAACACCCTTCTTACCCCTTGGCTCTAGGCTTTTGACAAAACAACTGACCACAAATATGCAAACTATACGACAAAGTATGCAACAAAATGTGCGACATCGTAAATTTATAGCAAATATTTGCGAAGATATTTGCGATGTTTGATGTCCCTCCAGGGCCAACATAATAATCTGCCATGTTATTTATTTTTTTTCGTTTCTGGATCCGTATCTTTTGTGTTCGCGGTTTCACTTATTCATCGGTTACACATAATAACACCGCAGGTAAATCTGGAGTTTTGATGGAGAAATTCTTAACAGCGTCGTATCCAGTTTTTTGGTGTGGGTGTGTGTGTGGGGGGGGGGGCAAATTCAAAGTCGAATGTGGTTTCGGGTTCATTAAAGATGATGTCGGGGAGAATAAAATCAAAAGCCTTACTTGCGGTCCCGACATCCTTACATTTTATTACTGTCTTTGCTACACACCGAGGAAGTGTTCTTTCCCCAAAAAAGTCAGGGCGCAAGCCCCCCCTACTGCTGTTAAACATATCGTTTGTCTTACCAATTTTATCGTAGAAACCGAGTCGTGAGAAAATCCTGCAGTGTGCCTTATAGACGTGTAGCTATGAGGAATGATTGAAGTAAGGATGATTTTCAAAAAATAATCACGATTTAGATTTCGGAGTTCCTTGCTTGAAGAAGGAGTCTAAAAATGTAAACCAGGTCAGAAGAAGAACTACGATACTATGACACCCGTATTTATTCTTTGAAGGTAGTATAGCAAAGGGACAGTTTTTTTTTCATCTTTTTCATTTCAATTTTGAGGGCCAACCGATATCGAAGGTGGTTCACTGAAATATGGACTTAAAGCATTCACAAATTGCATGACTCTTTCCCTTTTCAGAAAGTCGGTATCAGCCTTCCAACATGACCACCTCAAAAGTAGTCTTTGTGAGGAATCTTTCAAGATGGAAGATGTCCAACTGGCAATGGGGACATCAAGTCATCACCCCCAAGCTACATAACTGTCTCACCCTTCATTCTTCTCGCAGGTTGCTGGCGAGTCAGAGTGAGTACACTCACATCATTGTCGGTGCTGGGTCAGCTGGCTGCGTCCTAGCAAACAGGCTCAGCGCCGAGCCGGACAACAGGATCTTACTCCTGGAAGCCGGACCTAAGGATCACTCCTGGAAGATTCGCATGCCAGCCGCCTGGCAGCGTGCAATCCTCTCAAGTTCTTTTAACTGGCACTACAGCACAGAACCAGAACCCAATTTGGGTGACAGACAGATCTTCTGGCCTCTTGGCCGTGTCTTAGGTGGGTCCTCTTCCATCAATTTAATGTGCTACGTCAGAGGACATGCCCTTGACTACGACCGCTGGGAGAAAGAGGGGGCTAAGGGTTGGTCCTACGCAAACTGTCTGCCTTACTTCCGTCGGGCTCAAACCCACAAACTTGGACCAGATGAGTATCGAGGCGGAGATGGTCCACTTCATGTTTCCCGGGGAAAGTCTAAGAACCCACTGTATCAGGCTTTCATCAATGCAGGAGTTCAGGCTGGTTATCCCTCAACTGATGACATAAATGGCTACCAACAGGAAGGCTTTGGGTACATGGACTTCACCATTCATAAAGGCGTACGATGGAGTGCTTCCAGTGCGTATCTTCATCCTGCTATGAAACGTAAGAATTTGACAGTCACCTCAAACCTTCTTGCGACCCAGGTGCTTTTTGAAGGCATAAAAGCTGTTGGGGTGGAGTGCTTAGAGAAGGGTCAAAAAACCACCGCACGAGCGTCTCAGGAAGTTATTTTGTGCGGAGGCGCCATCAACTCACCTCAGCTACTGATGCTGTCGGGTATTGGCGATGCAGATGAGCTCAGAAAGCTCGATATTCCCGTCGTTGCACATCTTGGCGGCGTTGGAAAGAATCTCCAGAACCACCTGGCTGTACCCTTACAGTACAAGTGTATTGAACCAATCACGCTAGCCGGGGCAGTGTCGAATTTCCCTCACAAAATTGCCCTCACCGCCTTGCACTGGTTCCTGTTCCGAAGCGGCCTTGGTGCCTCGTCTCATTGTGAAACAGTTGGCTTTATCAGGAGCCGGCCGGGAGTGGAACATCCCGA